TTTCTTGTCTTCTGTTTGCTTTTTCATTTAGCAAATATTTTTAAACTAGATTATAGAGTTGCAGAGATAGGTAATATCTCAGCTCCTGGTCATCAGATCCAATGGTAGGTGTGTAGTGAGTTACACAGGTTTGTTCATCCTGCTTAAGTGGGCCTTTCCCCCTCTTTAGGCTATTTAAACATTGGTAATGGTAATCACTGACTGGATGCTAAATTTAGTCCCTATAATTCTTTTTAAGATTTATCTATTCATACAGGAACTCAGGTACAGGCCAGAGGTGCAAGGGGTGAGAGGATTCTCCAGAGACAGAGTGGGAAGAACAGGTGGAACTACTGAAATATAGTGCTGAGGGGAGCGGTGGGCAAGATAGGTGAGGTCTGCTGTGCCATGTGGGTCACCTCCCTGGAGGCAGGGAATCTGCAGTGGCTGGTCATAGTGTCATAGTCCTGCGCTTTAACCCTTTGCGCCATCAGGGAGGCCCTTGCTTATTTTTGATCTTTTTGCGTAGAAGAACTGGAGTATAGACCAGAGTTATGGTGGTGAGAGGGTTCCCCAGAAACAGAACCAGGTGGGTCTACTGAACTACACGGCAAGACAGGAGAGGTATGCTATGCTGTGTGTGTGTTAGTTTTCTGGCCAGAGATTGAACTCAAACCTTGGTGGTGATATCATGGAGACTTGACCCCTAGGCCACCAGGGAGACCCATGGAGTCTTGATTTCTTTCATTGGGAAATGGATTTTCTGGAGCAGTCTGAGGATTTAGGAATACTCATTACTACTGAGTGGGTTCTTCTAGACCTTTGCAGGACACATACTATGAAATGTTTTAGCATTCAGGATTAAAAAAATAATGAATGCTTGGAAAATGCTTTAAATTAAAAAAAAAAGATTTATTCATGTAAGAGCTGAGGTATGTACAGGCCAGAGGTGTAGAGGGTTAGAGTGTTCACCAGCAACAGAGTAGGAAGCAGGTCAGGCAGATTGACTGAAATACACTGCTGAGGGGAGTAGTGGTTAAAGAGAGCAAGTCTAGAGGTCTGCTGTACCATGTGGGTTAGTTCCTGGCCAGGGATTGTATTCTAGCTGTAGTGGCTGCTGAGGCTTACCCCTTTGCAATACCATGCCCCAAGTCTTAACTTTTTAGTGAGCAATTTTTCAGAATGAGATCTTCCAGGAATGCATACATTGCATTATACAAATACTTGTGCTTGGTCACATTCAGGGATAGGATGTGACTGTCTTGCTCATTACAGTTTGCCTCATACCTAGCAAATAACATTTAACAAATACTTGGAGATGAGAAAGGATTGAATTTGATAATGTAAGTAGGAATTAAACTCTTAAAACAACCAGTATTTAGTAATGATCACTATAGCAATTCTTTATATGATTTCCAGGCTTAAAACAACCTTCATTGTAATTTTCTCAATTTTTCATTACAGAATTGAAGATGTTCCTGCTCCATCTACCTCTGCAGATAAAGTAGAGAGGTAAGATTATATACATGGTAAAATTAGATTAATATCTAGAATATAAACTAAACTATATAACTTGAGGGCAGTTTCATAATTTTTAATAGCTAACAAGTTGTCCAAATGTTTCTTGAATTAATTTTGCTTTTAACTAGTATGAATTTGATTTTTTTATGATTTATTTCATGTGTTACATAATTAACATATTTACAGTAACATACTATGTAGGTTAGTATGAGTTGATAAACCTTTAAGAAAAGTTCTGAGAATGTTGCATTTGAGATTACTTTTGCTTTTGTAATGATAAGTGAACTAGCCAAGCCTTGCCAGATTAGTTCAAAAGTTTATACAAATTGTAAATTTAATGCAGCAAGTATTTGAAAAAAGTTGATGTTAATAGCATTTAACATTTGAAAAAAAAATTTCTTGCAGTATGGATGTGGATAGTGAAGCAAAGAAGCTACTGGGTTTGGGACAGAAACATCTGGTGATGGGTGATATTCCAGGCGCTGTCAATGCATTCCAGGAAGCAGCTAGTCTTTTGTAAGTGCTGTTTCTGCTATGATGTGATATATACACTTTTAAATAAATTTGAGTCATGAAAAGTTTTTTCATGGGGATAAAGAATGAAGAGTAGGGGTCCTCCCTGGTGGTGCAACAGGTTAGGAGGCAACACTGCAAGCTGGCCATAGCACTTAAGTGGGAGTTCAGTCCCTAGCCCCAGAGGTGACCCACATGACACTACAGACCTCTCCTGTCTCGCCCGCTGCTCCACTCAGCAGTGTACTTCATCACTCTGCCTGATCTACTCCCTTCTCTGTCTCTGGTGAATCCTCTCAACCGTTAAATATTTAAAAAAAAAAAAAAAATAGATTTTTAAAGGATCTGATTATCTTATTTCTGTAACTAATATATACATATGTGTGTCTGTGTGTGTATCTGAGCAATGTTAGCCTTTGATTTTGCAGAGGCACAGGTCATTTGTTTTCTAGTCATTACTACCTAGAATAGGTAGTCATTACTACCTAGCATGTCCCTGTTTTGGGACTTATCCAATTTTAACTTTTGATAAATCTTGAGTCCTAGGGAAAACACTTCAGCCCCCAAGCAAGCCATGATGGATGGTTGCCCTACTCTTAATGCTATCGCCCTATAAATTCTGAACATTATCATCAGTTGCAGCTGCTTAGAAGTTGGCAGCTACCATGAAGTGGCCCCATATAGTTCTGTCTTTGGGGGTGGAGATTTAGATTAGATTAAGATTAAGCACAAATAAACATCCTAGCTTTTTTCCTCCCAGATTCCTAGAGAGATAATGGTATTTTCACTTCTGCTACTCAAAGAGTATTTGGGAGAAAAATTTGAAATTTTTTTTAAAATTTTTTTTTTTTAAAGATTTATTTATTTATTTGTGCATACAGAACTGGGGTATAGGCCAGAGGCTCAGGGACGGTGAGAGGCTTCACCAGAGACAGAGTGGGGAACAGAACAGGCAGATCAAGAAGTACACTGCTGAGGGGAGCAGCGGGCGGGTCAGGAGAGGTCTGCCACACCATGTGGTCACCTCCGGGGCAGGCAGGAATCGAACTCATGCAAGAGCGGCTTTAGATTCTCAGTGCTGTGCTTTAACCCGCTGCGCCACCAGGGAGGGCCCTGAAATTTTTTTTTAAAAAAGATTTATTTATGCATACAAACTGGGGTATAGGCCAGAGGTACAGGGGTGGGAGAGGATTCACCAGAGACAGAGTTGGGAACAGAACCAGGTAGATTGGTGGAGTACACTGCTGAGAGGAACACTGAGACAGAAGCAGTCTGCTGTACCACGTGGGTCACCTCTGGGACAGAGTATCAAACTCACACTGAAGCTGCTGCGCTAGCTTGCAGTGCTGCACTCTAACCCAATGCGCCACTGGGGCTGGGGAGGACTCTTTTTTTTTTTTAAAAGCTACTTATGGAAGAACTGGGGTTATAGGCAAAAGGTGTGGGGAGCAAAACAGGTAAGACTGAAATACACTGTTGAGAGGAGCAGGAGTGGGTCAGGAGAGGTCTGCTGTGCCATGTGGGTCAGCTCCCTGCCCAGGTATCAAACCCATCATGCAATGGCTTCAGATAGCTTCACAGTGCTCTGCTCCCACCCATCACACCACCAGGGAGGGCCTTCAACTATTATATCCAGAGATCTTCTGGCCCATCCTATAGAGAAGATACCTATTCATTTAGTTTGCTTTTGATTATATGCCGACTATAGTAAATTGATATCATGTAGAACATACATAGACAAAAATGTACCTTGAGTTTAATTTGAATGCAAAGGAGGCGGGGGGGGGGTTGTAATTGGTTTTTTAGAAAAATGCATTATTGGAGAGGTATCATTTTAATTATAAAAATCTAGAAATGCTTTGGGCTACATGTTATTTCAGGTTTTAAATTTTGTTCATAGAGGTAAGAAATATGGAGAGACTGCTAATGAGTGTGGAGAAGCCTTCTTTTTCTATGGGAAATCACTTTTGGAGTTGGCAAGGTAAGTATGTCTTTAATACTGTAATTTGTAAGTAGAGTGTGTTTTGTATCACTTTAATGGTATGTTTATAAACTCGCTTATTGCTACTACTACTTACTGACTTTGAGATTTCACACGAACTAAGTGATAACAGTTTAACTCAGAAAAGGGAGGTTAGAAGGAGCATGAAATATGAGTTTTGAAAGGTACTTTACTTTAGGGTTATTAGAAGTAGTGAACTAACTTTCCTTTGGTGCATGGTTAATATTTGACCAAAGTCTAATAGTAGAGAGAACCTTTAAAAGCATTCAGATAGCCCAAAACAAACAAGTGAATGAAAGACAATGAGAAAATATTACCATATGAGAATGTAGTAAATCAGACAAAGGCATCTGATGTATTTCCCACCAGCATATGTTAATCAGATACGATATATTAGGGGTATACAACTAGCAAATAATCTTAATCTATTTGTAATATAAGTTCTGGTGTTTTTCCCAATTTTATAATCAACAAAGCATTCTGACTTGTGAAAATATTGCCAGAATGTTTTTGGCTATCTTGAAAAGATGGGTGATGCAATGTTTAGGAAGTAAGGTTCTGTTGTAAAGAAAATAGACACTGACCATATTTTGACAAGAGTTACCAATGCTTTTTAGGTGGCTTGATGGGGAGTATATGCTTGTTTCTTTTAGTGTTTTTATAAGCTTGATATATAGTTTTGATTCATTGCTTTTCTTTCATATGAGAACTTAAAACATTTATATTCTCTGCAGTTGTTTTTATATAATCAGACTACAGTTTTCTGTCTTAGGTTTTAGCCATCATACCTTTGGTACTTTCTCCTTTTGTTCTCCTAGAATGGAGAATGGTGTGTTGGGAAATGCCCTGGAAGGTGTGCATGTGGAAGAGGAGGAAGGAGAAAAAACAGAAGATGAATCTCTGGTAGAAAATAATGATAACATAGATGGTATGTGGAGTTGCATGTGGCATTCAAGACATGTGACATATATGTGTTGTGCACAAATGATGGAAATAGGGCTCTTTCTATCCTGGATGATCTCTTTAAGATGTCTGGGGTGGTGCCTACATCCCTTCATCTGGTTGAAACTGCAGTGGAGGAGGTAGCCGGTCACTGAAATGTACAGCAGGTTTTTGTAAATGGAAAATTTCCCAAATAAATCTTGAGTACTTAATTGATGTTCTAAGTAATATAACAACCGTAAACATTTTTCTGATGAAACATTTTAAGTCTGCAGCTCAGTTATTTTAAGCAGTGCTTTTGGAGCTTTTTAACTGTGTCTTAAAATGTTAATTTCTGAATTGAGTTTGGCCAGAGATGGAAGTCTAAGATTTAAAGGACAATGTAAAGCTTGGCATCTTCTTAGCTGATAATCAAAATATTCAAGTAAAACGAATTTAAGGAGGTTGGGTTTCTTTTGCTGTAAGTTGCTCTGCTAGCTGGGGCTTTCCCTTTGCTTTTCTCATGGGGGTAGATAATTTTTAGGACTTCTGCTAAAAGTTAAACAGGCTGTTTGAGGGTTTAAAGGGAATGTGTGTTTAGTTTCCATTTATGCCTTTATCATTAAACTCGAAGACATTTATGCTTCATGTTCTTTAACCATGTAGAGGAAGCAAGGGAAGAGTTGAGAGAACAGGTTTATGACGCCATGGGAGAAAAAGAAGAAACAAAAATTACAGAAGAGAAGTCTCTGGTAAAGCCTGAAACTGATAAAGAACAGGAGACTGAAATGGAGAAGGGTGGAAGAGAAGATATGGATATAGGTGAACCTTCAGAAGAACAACAGGAAAAAGTTGAGTCAGCTCCAAATCAAGTAACTGAAACCACTGAGGCAGCAAAAGGAGCAGCAGAACCAGAAGGATTCAGTGAAGCTGAGACAATTTCTGGGAAGCCAGAACAGGAAGAACCAGATGCTGAGAAGGAAAAATCAGTTTCTGGAACTGATGTCCAAGAAGAGTGCAGAGGAAAAGTTCAGGAAAAGCAGGGAGAAGTAATTGTGAGCATAGAGGGAAAGCCCGAAGCTTCAGAAGAGAAGCCTGATTTGACCCCAGGAAAGCTGGGCACTACAGTGGAGGTAGCAGGGCCTCTAGATCCAGTAGTTAAACCAGTGGATGTGGGTGGGGATGAGTCAAAGGAGGATAAAACTACCTCTGAAAATGAGCCAGGAAAGGCTGTTCTTGAGCAGCTAGTATTGCAAGAAGTACCTCCTGGAGAGTCACCAGAGGTGACAGCAGAGGCTACAGAAGCCTCAGCCACAAGAGCTAGATCAGAAACCTCTGAGAAACTTGGGCAGGAGGCTGCAGTTTTCCCTAAGGATGGTATATTCAATGGACTGTCAAGTGCAGGTGATCAGACTGTTACTGAACCACAGTCTGCTGCAGAAGAACTGACACAAACAAAAGATAGCTTAGGAGTAGAGGAGGTCAGGGCAGAATTGGTTAGCCAGGAGACTAAACAGTCCGTAGAAGAATCTGAGGCAGCTGGAGATGGGGTTGAGAACAAAGTAGCCCAGGGGGCTACTGAGAAATCTCCTGAAGACAAAGTTAATATAGCTGCTAATGAAGAGACAGAAGAAAGAGAAGAACAGATGAAAGAGGGTGAAGGTAACCGGGATATGCAAGAGCTGCAGTGGGTGGAGTACATTCTGGATTTGACTCACTAATCATGGGTAAAAGTTAGCCTTCCATTCAGGATTTTCCGTCTGCCTTTGGATTAGGAAAGGGCTAAATAAAAATGGGAATAGTTTAAGAAGGTTGTGAGCAAGTACAAAAGCAAGTCTTCTTTAGCTGGCTTATAAACTAACGCTTTTACTAACTGCAAAATAGGCCTTCTTTGATTTCTGAGACTTGGCTAGCAACCAGTAACAAGTTATTGTATTGGCAACATACTAGCCAATAAAGGGGGATGGAGGAGGGGGATGGTGGAGGTAGGGTACAGTGGAGTAGGCTGGCAGAGAATGCTGAATGGATGTTCACTTGCATGCCTCTGGATTTATTTAATGTTCACACAGTTCCTTTTGTCTGCTTTAGAAAGCAGGATTAGAGCAGTAGAATCCACTGAATTGGTACACTTAAACAGGCATGCCATTTAAATGAACGCAGTTAACTCTTAAATGCTCTATCCCCAGAAAATTCTGGCGTACCTCTACCTTTAGTCTTCAGGAAGTGTTTAGAGGCATATTCATGTTGGTGAGTTATCTCTAAAAGGCAACAAAAAAACCATTAGCCCTCCTGCTGCTTTCTTGCCTTAATACATGCTTGCTTTGGCTGCTAAACTGAATTTTTTCTTTTACTTAGAACATTATAAAGTACAGGTGCATTGTATAGTAATGGTCTGATTGTGACTCGGTTTCATCAAGAGTGTGAGCCTCTAATTACTTAATTGGCACGTCTGACTTGAGTTGTGCTATCATTTGAGGATTCTACTGTCTATAAGATTCATCTAACAATGGTATTAATAACTACAGGTATATTCCAATTAATCATTACATCTGTATAGTAACCAGATTGCTTCATAAATTCTCTTTTAAATTTTAGATTTTCAAAGACTCGGTATTTGCAGGTCATTCTGGGAAACTTACCTATGTGCAGGTCCCCGCACTCCAGCCAGCACAGGCAGTGATAATCAGAAGTGAACTATTGGTTAAATGGTAGTACCTTTGGTCTGCTTATTTGACTTGCTAATGGAAAAAGCACAGAACTGAATTCCACATTTCAAACAAAACCCATGTCTTCATCTGAGCAAAGTAGTAAAAGGAACCCTGCTGGCACTCTTTTAAGTTGGATTTTTGTTTTAAATATTACTTACTAATCCAGTTACAGCAACGAGGAGGTTAAGGCTCTGATCACTTGTTCAGAGTCATAAACCACAACACAGGAGGAATCTGACTCTAGATCTGACTTGAATGTGTTATTTTTCCCAAACTTGACTGCTCTGGGAGGACTTTTTTAAAAAAAGACTTATTTATTTATGCATACAAGAATGGGGTGTAGGCCAGAATTGGGGGGGTGGGGAGGTTGAAAAGAATGAGATGCGGGGAGAGCAGAACAGGCAATATCCACTGAAATACACTGCTGAGGGGAGCAGCAGGTAAAGCAGGAGACGTCTGTTGCGCCATGTGGGTTAGTTGCCTGGTTGGGGATCATACTCATACTGCAGTGGCTGGTAATAGCTTCATAGCACTGAAACTTTAATCCCTGAGCCACCAGGCAGGCCTGGAAGGGCCTTTAGTTCTTACATCCACCCTGATCCCTGCCCCCCCCCCCCATTCCAGGTTATCAAAAATTTCCTCTTATTTAAAATACTTAACATTAGCATCCATGAGCCACTTTTTTTTAGTGTGGCAATGTACTAGTCTAAGTATCATAGCTTTCTTTCTTACAAACATAGAAATGTCAAAAAGAGGTTAAGAATTTTCCCAATTCATATAGCCAGTAAAGAAGATTCAGACATTTCTGGTTCTAGGACTCAGGCTCTGTGCCTTATTTCTTTTTATGTGGCAATACTAATATGCTGAAATCTTGCACATACTGTTCTTTTAAAACCCCATTTCCTACAAACTCTTGGGCTTGTCCATATTTCTAATAAAGATAATTGATTTGTTTTAATTGTCATGCTAGGTAAGATTTGTAAATTGCAGGGTTAAAGTTTGACCATGTTCACACTACACTGTAGTGGTTACCTGACTCATCCTATGGGAGTAGATTGCTTTCACGAGTCATTTTTCAGGTTTTCACTACTTTGCTCATGTTTTGAAGAGGATATAAAATCCAGAAAATAAAACAGTATATCGCATTCTCCAAAGAGCGGTAAAAGACGCACAAAAAGGGATTCTATTTTCCAAAAAAAAAAAAAGATTCTATTTTCAAAGAAGCTTTGAAAATACTTTAACAAATCTCCTTACTGAGAATATTAAGCCAGCACCATTAATTACCCAGATAACGGTTACTAAAGTTGGAAAATGGTTGGGTTTTTTTTGGAAAATGTTTTATTCAAGTAACAAATTTCTCATAAATTTGACTTTCTCATTATACCATGGAGGTTAGTACACATTCTTAAGGAAAATTACTGTTTAAGACAGTAAAACACTTTTAATTTATTATACTTAAATTGTATAGTACAGAAATAAAATTATACAGTAGACATTATTTCCTATAAAATTTTTATGTACAAATACAATAAAATATCAACCTAATGTGGCATGAGGAGAAACAGATACCAAAATGCAGAATAGCAAGAGTATGTCATTTTTTTCCTACAAATTAGGAAAATAAATTTTATCTTTTTAGTCTTAGGAGAAATATATAGACCCTACTGTTTTTTCATATTTTGCTAGAGGATGGCTTCACTGTCGAGAGTCTCTAAAACCATCCCTTATAAGGGAACTTCATACACAAACTTCTTGGAAATTTGGGTATGGAGAGGTATGATATGTGTTCATGTATTTCAGAACCACTAAATTATATGGTCAATAGGAGAAAAGCAAATCGCATGGTAAAACAGGGCATGTATGCCATAGAGGGCAGTTGGCTTGTAACTGGCTTAGGGGACTTAAAAAATTGATCTTAACTATAATTTGTAATGTATAGGAATTTTTTGTGCCAATTCTCAGTCTGAAGCAGTAATCCCAGACAGATCAAAAGTCTTTTAACTTGTGACTTTGATTGTATAAGGCCTAATTGCCATATTTATATTGCTGTAGTGGGTTATTAGAAGGCAATATTTGAACTCTGCTGAAATTTAAAAAATGTTTAATGGAAGATGGTAGAGGTAGGTACTCTATAACCAACTTAGTAATTGCTTATAGCCCAAAAGGGCCATTTTACGTGCTTGACATTTTGAACTTAATTGCGTGCTCTCTTAGCCGGTCCATACAGGCATTTGATTTATTAAGTATATGTTAGTAAGCCATATAGGCATTTGATTTACAAATATATGTTAGTAAGTCATTATTACTATGCCTACAAATTTGTAACATAGAACTTGAATAAAATAACCAATTGTATCATACTGCTCAAATTTCTGTAAATGCTAGAGCTGGCTGGAGTCTGTGGCATGCCCATTGGTGAGAATTGGTAAAGGTCCACAGCTCTGTTGTGGAAGAGCTAATCTCTCCAGCATTCTTATTCTGAATGGATTGGAGTAATTTAACTTTTGGTGTTTTTTTTCAACCTATTAGTATAATCTAGCAAGTGGATTAAAGATACCAGGAATACTGATTAAGGAGCATTTGGCTAGTGAATAGCTAATGGGAATAGCTAATGGTAGCTAATGGTCTGAGCTTACTTTTGAAAGAGAAATACATAGCTCTGAACCAGACACATAAACTATATAGTATATGTTAGATTTGTGAACAAAAGAATTAGGCAATTACTTTTAGCTTTATAGTGAGTTCACCTGACTTGGTTGAGGATCTGGCCTGTCATTTTTAGAATACAGCTTATTTGACAGACGTTGAAATCTCTGACTAGAGAAGATAATTCTTGGTATACTCAATGAAGAATTTTTGCTTACAGAAACTGAAGGCTCAGAAGAAGAGGACAAAGAAAATGACAAAGCTGAAGAAATACCAAATGATTCAGTTCTTGAAAACAAGGTGAATCATTATGCATATAATGTCACTTGCTTCCTGTTAAGTGTGTGACTTACCCATTGTAGGGTGGCTGTCAATCGCCTCTTACTTAGGGATTGGGGACTTTTTTTCGTGCCTAGAATAGTCAGTCACCTGTTTGATTCCAGGGAATCCTGTCTGTTAAGATAAGATCCAACATATAACCTTGTTAAATATCTCTCATGAAGTGATGATTAGGGATAGAAGTTTTGTAGGGGCCCGTTATGTAAGTTTTAAGGGAAAAGTATGATTTTTGATCCTTAAAAATTTGTCTTTTTTAAACAACTATGCATCTACATTTATAATGTAAAGATGTCTGCCTTGTATTTAACCTATACCACTAATTTGGATATACTTTAGTCTCTTCAAGAAAATGAAGAGGAGGAGATTGGGAACCTAGAGCTTGCCTGGGATATGCTGGATTTAGCAAAGATCATTTTTAAGAGGTAAAATTCTTGGTGCTTATAGATTCATGCTGGGAACATGATGGTGAAAATAGAAAGTGGTTAGGATTGGGCAGATGCTATTACGGGTTCTGATTATTTTTCTTTTAGGCAAGAAACTAAAGAAGCTCAGCTTTATGCTGCACAGGCACACCTTAAACTTGGAGAAGTTAGTGTTGAATCTGGTAATGCATTTTCCATTTTATTCTCCTTTGATTCCAGTGCCACTTGCCACTGCCCATTTTCCTTAAAACCCAGCTTATACATAAATTGTGAATAGTTGATTTTATAAGGACCTCTGGTTTGTTTCATTATATTTCCTCAAGAAATCTCTTCTAAATGGAACCCTTTCAGTAGGGTCCTTATTTATTTAATTGAAGTACCATACCATTGGTTTATATCCTTATTAGTATAAGTATAGCCCCATTTCCTTTAGGCTTTGTCACTGTTGCACAGCCACCACCACTAAGCACCCATAGTCCATTGTATTTTCTTCCCAACCTGTTCTCACCTCTCCCCTGTGTTTTGTTATCATTTTGATCTATATTAAACAGGCTTCTGGAAATACTATGAAGAAAAAGAAAGCACCTTGCAGAGTGATCTGAATATTATAAGTATTATGTATTAATACTTATCATTTGCTCACTGTCCTTTTTACCTTAATTAGAGAATTATGTCCAAGCTGTGGAGGAGTTTCAGGCTTGTCTACACCTGCAAGAGCAATACCTGGAAGCCCATGATCGTCTCCTTGCAGAGACTCATTACCAGTTGGGGTTGGCCTATGGGTACAACTCTCAGTATGATGAGGCAGTGGCACAATTCAGCAAATCTACTGAAGTCATTGAGAAGAGAATGGGTGAGTGAAAGAGCCATCATTTGCTTTACATAATGATTTATAAGAATTCTTTTTTGGTAACTATTACTGATGACTTCAGCCTGTTCTTTGTAGCTGTACTAAGTGAGCAAATGAAGGCAACAGAAGGATCCCCTGCTGAATATGAGAAAGAAATTGAGGAACTGAAGGAACTGCTACCTGAAATTAGAGAGAAGATAGAAGATGCAAAGGAGTCACAGCGTAGTGGGAATGTAGCTGAGTTGGCACTGAAAGCAACTCTGGTTGGTTTGGTTTACTTTGTCTACTGATTATTAACGAACTTGACACACCTTTGCCTTAATTGACTCATCTACAGGATGGAGTATAATAGTACCTGTATGAAAGATGCTTAGTTTTGGGTGTTAAAATATTCTTGACAGGAAGGAATAGCCTAAAAAATGTAAGCTATTCTGTCAGAATTCCACTAGATTAGTGAAGTATTGAAGATTTAACTCCATATTGCCTTACACTGCTGTTGGGAATGTTAGCGAGCTTTCTAGCCCTTTGGTTTAATTTATACTTAGGCCTGGTTGGGGGAGGCAGGTGGGTATGGACAGAGGGGATAGATGATATTGCTAGTAAATAGAGACCACTAGCAAAGAGAGACCAGTTGTTTGGATGTTAGGTACCTATTAGGATTGTGGGTGAGACGAATGGTGGTTCTGTCCTTGGACCCATTGGGTTTGTCATGTGTCACGCAGGTGGAGAGCTCTACTTCAGGTTTTACTTCTAGTGGAGGAGACTCTTCAGTTTCCATGGTGGGTGTTTAGGTGATTTTTGTCCCATTACCATTATGCCTTAGTGTTTGTCTCATGTAGTTGTACATCGCTAACAAAGGTTTCATTTTCCCCAGATTGCCAGTAGAAAACCAACAGATGGTGCTTCTTCATCAAATTGTGTGACTGATATTTCCCACCTTGTCAGAAAGAAGGTAAGTCTACATGTGGGCCATTCATTTTCTGTCTCCCCAGGCTGCATCCCCCTTTCAGGAATATCTTTCCTATCTCAACATTTGGTGTTAAGATTGTAAGATTTTTGAGCTCCTGTCTCATTGGCCAAATGACTCACAGGAAAGCTGCTAAGGGGCATTGGTCAGATCAGCCCATTTTAGGAAGTGGGCAGGTAGGTTCGACAGTGGCTTTTCAGCAGCAGACCTGTGAGCCAGCTTTCTTCCCCACCCCCACTCCTGATATTTTTGTTTCCTGACTCAAATGCAGGAATTCAAACTTGGGGTTTGGTTCAGATCTCCTTGTTATCCCTACCATACCCTTCCATTAGGAAGGCTGAATTTGCAGAAACAGGTTGACTTCCTTCCTGTGACAAGAGACCCTTGGAGTTGTGAATCTATTCGCACCATAGCGGGTGGGAAGGTGTTAGGAAAGTGTTTGTTGCAGTTGTCCTTTTAAATAAAACACTAAGCACTATTGTGAAGCCTTGACAATTATATCTTTAGAGGAAACCAGAGGAAGAGAGCCCCCGGAAAGATGATGCAAAGAAAGCAAAACAAGAACCAGAGGTGAATGGAGGCAGTGGAGATTCAGTCTCCAGTGGAAATGAAGTTTCAGAAAACATGGAGGAGGAGGTGAGCCACTAAGTAGGACTCTTCCCAAACGCGCACTCCCCATCTTGAAGCTATTGGAAGTGCCTAAGTGCAGCAGCCCTTTTTAAGGACAATGATTATCCAGAAACTAGTGATTGTGGGATATAAGAATTCTCATTGACACATGGAACCTTATATACAATAATGTGGGGGGACCTCTGTTTTATTTCTTCTGACTGAAATTCAGGTTGTATGAAACGGAATGACTTAAGCTAGAGTCACTTACACCCAGACTCTTGTTTATCTTTCAGGCTCAGAATCAGGCTGAAAGCCGGGTAGCAGTAGAGGGGGCAGTGGAGGCCGGAGCTACAGTTGAAAGTACCGCATGTTGAGAAGGGTGCATGGCCTTCCTCCTAAGGGAAAGTGGTTTTGTATATAGTGTATTTTTTCACTTTTGGGGGAATTCTTTTTGTATAATTTCAATAAAGATTGTAAGCAAAGGTTGAGGCTTTGACGATTTTTTTCCCCTAAATAATGACTGGATCTGTGCCTTGGAGCACTCCAGGATTTACATAGTGGCCAAAGGTACTTCCTTTCCCCCCACACTTTTATACAGATGTCTGTTGGAAGTTCTAATTTAAGTTCTTACCTGTCTAATGTTGAGGTGGCCAACAAAAGTGTGGTTATGTGCTTCTCCCAATGGTGCTCTATTTTCTTCCATTTTAAGTACCTGACTGAACCTATCTAGCTGTTTTGCAAAACTTTGATGTGCATACTATCTTTGGATGAAGACTACAGAAAGTTAAGACTTGGTTTGAAGATCCCACTCTTTGGTGCTGATACCCTTTGGACTCCTAATAATGCCTCTTAAGCCACAACTTTGGTGGTGGTACTTGTTTTTCTATCAACTGGGGCCATATCTTGTCCTAGTTGGAGAACTCTGAAGAACACTTCAGAAGTGATCATTGTAGAGACTTGAGCTTTCTGGTTTGAAAGCAGCATTAAGAGACTGATTTTGCTGGACACTGAGATATAACTGAAAGGATTGCGGGGGGCAGGGGGTTGGCTGGCCCACCGACTTTTGTTTTCTGTATACAAAGGTTGAAATATACCAACACACTAAATTGTTACCTGTTTGCAGTTTTGACTTGTCAAATAAAGATGCTAAAAAATGGTCTGGACTTGTGTTTGTAGGATTGTTACAGAAAGTAAATGGGATAGAAATGGACCAGCAATAATTCTAATCCAGTCCAAGGGTGCTAGGGCTCAGATGGTAGTAAAGCTCTATTCCCTTAAATCCTTACCAATATCCAGGTGTGAGACCTTGACTGGGCTGCACTGGATAAATACTTGCTGTGTGCAAATCTAATTTAGAGTCAGGAAGCCTTGCTGATCCCCTTATTTTAGGAGATATTTTGTTCCCTAATACAAAAAAGTTTTTCTGGGATGGTTTTAGTAACTTGTTATAGAACCTTAGGTTTTGAATGTTTTCCTGAAGGTATCCTCTTACAGCAAGTTGAAAGCCTTTTGTTTAAACCAATAGTCATGATACCCAGACCTTATGCCCTTGCCTGTCACACAGGTCTTAAAATGATTGCTCTGGAACCCAGCGGAGAGGAACATTACTGAGCAGGAAACCTACCCTGGAATCTCAGTTATAAATGGCTTCCAGAGTGCTCTGTTCATGGGGACCTTGAAAACCTGGAAGACTTCCTGCAGGGTTTCCTGAGGAAGCTAAGACTCAAACGTGATGTGGCAATAAGATAGGCTTTAGCAAAAAACAGGTGAGAATGAGTTTTATAAAGTTATTTTTTGCTGGGTTGAAAGTGTTCCCATATCACCTTTCCTGTATTGTAAAAGTGGAAATAATAACACATTTGTTCCGCATGTCCATCTGTTCTACAAAAGGAAAACAAGTATAAAAAAACTTCAATGCTTGTGGTAAAATTGGTTGGAGCTTACATTTTGTGCTCACATACGCTATGTTTCTAGACCCTAAATCAGAACATGGAGTAGTAAATACAGATCTGAGAAGAAGCCTCAATCTAGTTGCTAGTCCTAATTAGATTAAGCTATTCATACCCACATGTACTGCAGGAAGCCAGTGAGGGTGGGGTATCAAAACTGCCAGGACCCAAATCCCCTATACTTGACTGCCAGTTAAGTGTTCTTCTGCAGGAGGGGGATCCACAGAGCCAGCTGTTGGGGCAAAGGTGCTGGCTCCCAGTGAAGATGAGGTGGATACCTGTGGAATAGAGAAGGGATTTATGTAGAGGTTAACAGCACAGGCTCTGGGGGTCATAGGTTCCAGATACTTCAATCTTCATTTCCACATCTTTGCTGTGGGCCTTCCCACTGATTTCTTTATGCTACACAGGATGTAACAGGATGTGTCACATGAATTAAATCACAAAAGCATTTGGTAGTGACTTGGCTCAGAGTTCCAACAAAGGCCATTCAGGCACAACCCTGGTGTCTATAGCTCTAGTTGGTTCCTCACCAGAGGTGGGTATTGATACTCATGGGCACTTGATGGATTGATCTCAGCCAGTGACTGCACAGTAGCATCTCTGGCATTCACCAGTCGCAGGAAGAGCTCCGTGTGACCTACCTGAGGAGAGATGAAATGGTTCTGCCTCTGTACCTTGGAGGAGTAGATCTAGTCCCCATTCTTCACACTCACCTGGGGAATCCCATTCAGCTGCCCAAGGCTAAGACTGGCATCCAGAGGAAGGGCCCGAAGTGGGAGACGCCAACGGCCACTTAGCACCCTCTGTTCCCGGTCAAATATCAGTAGTGAAGTCCAGGCCTTTGGCTCTGGTGCTCTAGACCATGCCAGCCCCTGCCATGCCTGCAGCTCACAGACCAAGGACACTGACGGTGAGGGTGGCAGTCTAGACCAACCAAGAAGAGTTACCAGATATCAGAACTGGCTACTCCCAAGAAATTGGCCCTCAGTGCCAGTGAGTCTATAGACAGATGAGAAAATTAGGCAAATGAGAGGCAAACCTCAATAGGTTGCCAGTCACTATTAACCACCTACTGACCTGGGTACAGGTTGCTTGCTGGCAAGGATGGCACAGTTGCCCACTGGCCCAGGAGCCGGAGGTGGGGGTAAGCAAAAGGCTGGGGGCAATGCTGTGGTTCCTCCTGTATCCTGACCATCCCGGGCCAAGCCAGTTACTAGTTGCACCCAAATCCAAGAAGCCTCAAGACCCCGCAGGAAGTCATAGAAAATGACCAGCCCAGCCCTGGGGAGACAAGTTTTAGTGCGTGCACAGTTACACCCACTTCCTCCCCTCATCCTCACAGCCCCCAGAAAGATACCCAGCCTTAGAGAGGCCTAATGGCTCTCTTCAACCAGCAGTGGTAAACAAATCACAAATGACAAAGAAGGGAGCAGGATCTCACCCGGGATCATAGGGTGCAGGGCCCAGAACATCAGATGCAGGCAGGAGAAAATGTGAATCCAAGCTCAGGTTTGTGGTCCTGGTTCTGGGAAGCTGTGGCTGTTGGCCAAGAGTTTACTCATCCAGAAGCCATCTAGTTGCCCATGCACCCCCAAATGCAAAGAACAGGATTGCCCCTGCCCCAATCTTTGGGTTCTCACAGCTTTCTCTGCACCACCCAAGACGCTTCCAATAAATGGTGGATAAGGTGGAAGTGGAGGAGCCACCCGTGGTGGCAGCAGGGGATCTTCCCTCCTTAAACGTGGTCCAGGATCCGCCACAAGCTGAGCCTCCCCTGTCCCTAGGTACACAGGAAGAGTAGGGCTTCTTTGAGCAGGGCACAGCTGAGACTCGGGGACACAGGGTGATGCTCATGGACATGGACTAACAAGATACAAAAATGTTTCATTCCCCATGCATGGTCCATCTAACCCTTTCCTCCGATGCTAGCCTGCTGAGGGGTACTAGGCTGGACGAGACTGGAGTGTCCACTGACCCCAGGGAAGTAGGCCTGCACCCTTCTGCATTTGCAAGGCCAGGATTTCTGCTTCCAGGCGCCGGTTTTCAGCCTCCACTATTAGAAGCTCCTCTGTTGTGCCACCTGCCAGTCTTCCTGCTATGAAAAAGTTTCACCTGTCACTTCTGATAGCTGGTAACTAGTCGGTCCGGCTCTGAGCAGTTCTCCAGTTCTCAACTCTCTGGAAAACGCTGGACTTGTCAGCTAACATCTAGCTACTGCCACATAGACCACTCAAGGGCTGTACTTAAGGTGGTTTCCATGCCAAAGATGCCCTCCCTCACCGCCCTTTTTTCCTCTCTGGACTAAGACCACCACTTCCGAGAGGCCCCTTGGCCCCTCCTGTTCACCCCTACGATTCCGTGACCGCTGCAGTTCCAGAGCGGATGCCTCTACTTGCAACTGCCACATCTGGCCCAGAACGCTGGGATCCCGGCCTCCACCTCCAATGTATGCTTCACGCAGGGCCCTAGAAGTAGGGAAGAAGGAGGCTTTTCCAGGACTGATCAGCGCTTCGCCCCGTGCCCGTCCTGAGGCCCCGAACCTCACCCGATCTCTGCAGTCAGGGTCCCCGAGTTGGCCTGTAGTACCGGACAGCAGAGCTCTGCCTCTCGCAAGGAGTCAGGCTGGACCCTGGGCGCCAGGCGAGTGGACCGAGGAGGGAATCTAGCAGGCTGGCCCCGCCTGCTGTAGCCCCGCCCCTTCCGGGCTCACACCCGAAGTCCCCAGGGGCTGCTTCCGGGCTGGCGCCCGCCGGGGCCACACCCACCCCTCCCGCTCCGGTCCCGCACACGGGCGTCTCACCCGGGTTCGGGCTGTAACTGCTGAACTCGCGCTCCTAACACCTCTAGGGCTCCCCGCGTTCGCCCAGCCTCTACCCGGAGTTCTCGTAGCTCCCGCTCCATATCGAGCAGTCGCGATATTCCGCCCCGTGTCCGAACCAAACCTTGGAGTCGCTGGCTCAGTTCTGAAGGGATGAGGAACCGAGTCTGAAGTGGTTCAAGCAGCCTCGAGACGGGGGTGGGGTGTATCGAATGCTTTTCCAGTATCACCCCATTTTCCCTCACCCTCGCCGCGTCGCTCCAGGACCTGGCTCTGAGCTTCTGTCTCCGCCAAGCGCCTCGCGCGAGCCTGGTGTAGCGCGCGCAGCCGCTCGCGGGGGCTCCTAGCATCCTCGGAGGTGGAAACCTGAGTGGGCCCCTCTGTTGGCCAGGGCTGTCTGTCTTGAAGGTGCAGCCGTAGCTGCTGCACCCGGAGAGAACAGAAACCTGTGGTCTGCACTGGGGCAAAGTGTCCCGCGAGTGCGATTTTAGCTCGTTACAAGCCCCCGGGGGGAAAAGCAGAGTGTACCTCCTCTGTCAGCTTCTTTAAAGCTGATTTGCTGATCTGGTCTGACAGACCCCGGGGTTCTTGTGGTACAGCCTGGGGACAGTATGGGGTTTAGAATCCTTGAAGACCCCCCCAGGGTCAGGATCGTGGCCATGGGGCAGCCCTTACCGCGCGATCTCGTGAGTCAGTGGCTACGGAAGGCTGAGTTCCAGGTGTCAGACGGCCAATGCAGAAGCGTCGAGTGTGGGTGGCCAAGAGGGCCCAGGAGCGGAAAACCATGTCACAGGATCCACAGGGCAGGAGTCCTGGCTCCTCAGAGTGGGAGGCCATTGGGGGTGGGGGGTGAGGGGAGTCCTTTCCTGACACAGTGGAGACCTGCAGAAGATAGGGCAGAGGGCACCGCAAAAGGAGAGGAGACAGAAATCCAAAGCAGAGAAGAGGGCCAGGTTTATTTTATCTATTGTACGAGATCAGGTTTGTTTGGGGAGGTGCCCTAGCTCCCTGGGCAGCGACTACAAGTCTGGGCAAGTCTGCAGAATGGGTGGGAAAGCGTGGTCATTTTTGGGAGGAGCCCTAGCTTGAAAAAAATGTGAAGTCTGTTCCTCTTCCTTACATTAGAAGAGGAAAGCATCCAACCCCACACTTTGGTTTTTCTACATCCTTTATTTCCCTAAAAAAAAAAAAAAAAAAAAAAGATATTTATGCATACAAGAACTGGGGTACAGGCCAGAGGTGCAGGGGTGAGAGAGTTCACCATAGACAAGAGTGGGGAGCAGAAAACACAAATTGGCTGAAAACACACTGCTGAGAGATGGTCTGCTGCACCATGTGGGTGGGGATCAAACTCCTGCTCCAGTGGCTGTTGATAGCTTCACAGTGCTGCGCTTTATTACGTTGTGCCATCAGGGCCCCTCTACCAATTTTAATGAAGGAATCCACATCGCCTTCACCACTAGCTGGGCCCCTATCACATCATCCATCATTGGTCATTTAATAGCCTTTGTCAGGGAAGTGTCATCTTGTTTTCTCAAGTGGATGTCATGTAGGTTACTGTCATTCCAGGAACACCTGGGCAATGAGGCCTTTTTGTGGAAACTAACTTTCCTCCAGATTGAAAAGGTCTTTACTGCACTGGGCATGTCTGTAAGCAACAACCTCTCCGTAACCAAGTCACCAAAGGATGGTGTCTCCCCTTTCCCTGATTCATGTTTCTTCTTTTTCAGCTGTAGAGGGAGGATCATTAGCACAGCCTAAGAAGTCCAAGTTCTTGGAAAACAATGAATCTATGAAATTAGGAAATCAATACAGAAAGGTGCCCCTTCACCTGAGACTGGCCAGATGTTCCTCCATCTCCCAATTTATGCAGAAGAGGCAGGAGCCCCACACCAATCCTTATTTCTAAACCAGCCCCCCTTTCTAAACAAGACTGGAATTAATGGTAGCCCTCATTCTCCCATCAGTTATGTCAAGCCAACATATGACTTACGTTGGTTACAAAGTGTTTTAAAGTATACAATCTTAGTCCAGCTTAATTCCAAGTGAAAAGGGGTTTATTTCCATAAATATGTCTTGTTCTAAAAAGCCATTAAGTGACAAAGTCCAAGATCAAATATGTGCAATAGCTCTCAACCTCCTTCTCAGTCTAGTTTAATACTTCTGCAACTTAGTTCATTAAATTGTATTTTCATTGATTCTAAGATATTGTTCATACTTCAGCAACACATTAGCAAGATCAACTGTTAATACAGTAGGGCTGATAGGATCTTTATGTCTTACTGGTCATAAGAATCTAGTAATCTCTACACTGCATGGATCTCTCCTAACATCCAGTATGAGACCTGTTTCTACTGTTTTAAACCTCTGAATTCACCAGGGACCATGTACTTGTACAGATGGTGAGAGTACCAGTTCCACAGCCACCTCAGGTATGAGTTTGACTCCTGGCCCCGGAGGTGATCCACGTGGCACAGCAGACTTCTGCTGTCTCGCCCGCTGCTCCCCTCAGCAGTATACTTTGTCTACCTTCCTGTTCTGCTCCCCACTCTGTCTCTGGTGAAGCCTCTCACCACCCCTGCACCTCTGGCCTGTACTCCAATTCTGTATGCATAAATAAATAAATCTTAAAAAAAAAAAAAAAGAAAGAAAAGAATTCCTTTCCTTACTGGGTTGAGCTCTCTTGGCATCCGTAGAGCCTCAAAAAATGCACAGACACACAAAAACATACAAAGTGTCTGTTGGATGACAAAACCTGCCACCTCCACTGATTACTCAGCATCAACTTAAGCCCCTTTACCCCATGTTTTGGATTTATCAAGAAAACTAAGGTACAGATTTCCCTTAGAATTCTAATGCTCACTAATGAATACACAGGTGGTGAAAAACTTTCAGGACAAAAACTTGGGTTTCTGATTTTATTACTGGTAACTTATTGCACTTTTTCACTTTTGCATCAAAAAAGTGTCTGCTAAAAGAAATAGGTGTTTCTGAATTTAGACTTCCCTCAGTCTTTTAGTCTGAAAAAAGAATCCACTCATCTCATTTTAAAGAAAATATACTTCTTACACAAGACCATCCAAACTGATGCAAAATATTTATTCCAAGTTAGTTATTTTATGCAGTAGTTTTTCCCCCTCAACAGACTTGTGATAACCACATCTTTAAATCTGTAAATAATGTTATCAAAATAATCTTAATCTTTGAATCTCACAAAAATTTATATTTTACAATCCACCCTGAATATCAAGGCTGCAAGAATAACACAACATTTCCTATATCCAAATATTTTACAGCTGTACCCAAAAAAGAAAAAAAAAAAAGGAAAACCACATATGCTTAGTTAAGGGCTAAAGTTACCCGAGCAGCCAAAAATAAAATAAAATATCCAAATTATTAGCATTAATTTAATACAATTAAAACTTCAATAGTCACTTTGTCATTGACAATGATTGCTTGAGCACAGGGGTGAGTGCCCCAAGGGCTGGTAGTAGAAGCTGTTGCTGTAGACCAAGGTCTCCTCTGCACTGCCAGCTCCCACTTGTGCATCGCCCCACCAGATACTGTATGTGTGTGTGTTTTAAAAATCTTTCCCACCACACAAATGTCTCTCTATTAAGTAGATAACAGGGAAGAACAACAAAAAAAGCTAAACAAGCGGAGAGCTCTCTTTGGGATACGATTATTTCCCTTGTGCGTGAAGTATCTGACAACCTAAGAAAAAGAAAGATTCCTTTTGTATCCCTAAACACACAAACTGAGTTTCCTGCATCAGATTTTAACTGCGAGCGTCTACATGCCTACTTCCAGGCATCATCATCTGATGTTTCACTGCTACTGGTTTCGGTTTCTGAGTCCTCAAACTCTGCTTTACAAGTGCTTCTCCAAGGGGAGAAGAGGCTGGAACTGCGACTCTGCAAGAAGCCATTCTTCCCAAAGCCATTTCTTCTCAGCTGAGGTTAGCATGCAAAGAGAAAAAATAAAACCATCAACTCTACTGGTCCATGGGACCAGACCTCAATCCCATTCTAGGCAGAGGGGACCCTTCCAGGGGATTGAAGATTTCTTAAAGCAGTATTTTTTCAAATGTTAACGTGTCAATGAATCATCTAATGATCTTTCAAAAATGAAGACTTTGATTCAGTATATCTGGGTTAGGTTTGAGATCTGAAATTTCTATACAATTTCTCATGACAGACCATGAATAGATGTAGAGGGAAGAGTTCTGTTCTGTTGACCCTGATAGAAAGAACAGAGCTCTGATTTGGAAAGTCTTTATACCAAACTGTTTCTGTTTTTCATAGGACTTAACACAGGCAATTTATTCTTTCATTGTGTTTGCTTCAGCATTTACTTTTCTTGAGTTTTTGTACCAGAGACATACTAGACTAATGAAATGCACTGAGAAGTCTCCCACCTTACTTTTATATGGGATGAAAGATGTGTACTGGGGTACACTGCTGGGGGAAAACTTTCCAGCAAAGCTGACCTATCCAATAGAAAAGTCAAGGTTCACCTCTTTATGACTTCCTTGGGCACAGCAACATCCACATGAAGCATGGTGAACTGAAATGATCATAATATGGCCACCAGGTACACATTCTAAATGCATATATATCGAACCCTCCCCCATAAGTAAACTTTAAACATTAAAAATTCTTGTGATAACAATAAATAAACACCACTGGACCCTAAGTGTATAGAGATCCAGTTGTCTTATTCACTGCTATATATCCTAGGATCTCAGAGTATTTTAGTTAGCGAAAGAATCCAAGCATTACTAAATAAATTCAAACAAACTACTTGGCTTTCTGGATCTGGCCAGAGAACCAGAGGGAAACCACAGGGTTAGAAGAGGAGGTTAAGCATATTTCTCTAGAGAGAGTAAGATGAGGCCCTTAACCTTTGGAACCAGCCTACAGATTCTGCTAAGGGGTTGGATCTTCCAGCCGAACGAATATACTACTCTCAGAAATCAGCTAACTACACACCTGGTTTTTGTACCCACTGGAGAGCCACTGTATCTTAGATTGTCCAGGTATGGAGAACTGCTCCTCCTCGCATTTCTACCATAACAACTTTATATTTTGATTTTCAAGGTTCTATTCTCACATAAAATTGGGGCTCCTTAAGGGCAAGGAGTGTCCTGATTCCTTTCTTTTCTATTCATTACTGGTTTCTAAGATGGGTTTATGAAATACCTGTTCTGTCTTCATGCGAAACTCTTTGAGCTCATCTTCTGTGAGGGGAAGGCAATTCTCATCATTTTCAGGATACTCCTGCCATCCCATTGCTCTCAGTAGCCTGGCAGAGAGGGGACAGGCAAATAAAATATACCTTTTAGCATAAGCAAGCATCCCACAACTTTTTACAGAAAGCTATCCTGCCCAGAGGCAAAGGTACCCATTTGAATATTAAAGAAAAACTCGATGTTTCTCTTCTTCCCAATGGATAAGCTTTAATTATGGTTATTTAGGTTTTATTTTCTTAAGAAGATTTTTTTTTTATTTATGCATACAAGAACTGGGGTGTAGGCCAGAGGTAAGAAGAGGATTCACCAGAGACAGAGCGAGGAGTGCGCAAGAGAGGAGAGGTCAGCTCCCTGGCAGGGGATCCAACTGGTGCTGCTGTGGCTGCTGATAGATTTATAGTACTGAGACTTAACCCTTTGCTCCACCATGGAGGCCTTATTTAGGTGTTTGTACTTATATGGAGGGATCTTCACAGTTCAGAGTATAAAGTTATAGAAAAGTGACAGTAGAGGGCCCTCCCTGGTGGCACAATGTGTTAAAAGCACAGCACTACAAAGCTAGCTGCAGCCACTTCAGGAGTTCGATCCCTCTCCTGTCTTGCCCGCTGCTTCCCTCAGCAGTATACTACATCGATCTGCTTGTTCTGCTCCCCACTCTGTCTCTGGTAAATCTTCTTACCATCCCTGCACCTCTGGCCTGTACCCCAATTCTGTATGAATGAATGAATGAATAAATAAATAAATCTTAAAAAAAAAAAAAAAAAGAAAGAAAGAGAGAGACAATAGAAACAAGATAGCATGGGGCCAGCAAGCCCTGTTTGCTATTAAGTTGCTCACATGATGGGTCTCATGCATCCCAAAGACCATTAAGAGTCTTATGGTACAACTGTTAACTTAGGCCATGAGGGTTCAAGGGACCAAACACAAAAATTCCAGCTCTCCAAATGTAGCCCTAAATTGAGTATGATTTTACTGAAAGTAAAATGCACAATAACCTTGAGAAGAGATTATGAAAAAGAAGGTCAAGAAATACCCAGTGAGCAAAAGGTCAACCTGAGGGCACACAGAGAAACAAGTTATGGTGCTTGTAGGCTGGACTTGATCTGAAACACTTTCTTTCCTTCGTTTTTCTGAGATGTTTTAAGTATGCTCAGGCTCCTGGCAAGCCATACACATACAAGCATTTCTCATTTGTCAATCCTCACCTGTGCTCTGCTTCTAAAGAGTGTGAGAGGACCTCTCCTTCCTCTTCAACAGGGAGAGTAAGACCATTCTGATGACAGCCTTCCTCTCCATTTTCCTTTGGTTCAGGTGTGCTGTTGTCCTCCAACTACAACAAGGGAACATACATTTGGTTTAATGATCCCTGTGGCAAGACAGATTTTAGAGTTTAAGTCAGAACCCCAGAAAATGCTTTCCAGACACCTTCAGGTATTGCCTATTTTAAAATGAGGACTTGCACACCTTGCTAAGATATCCAAAGAACATCTTAACTTCAGATTATGTCAACTACGGTAACAACTACTAGATCTGCCTATGTAGTATCAATTCTTTGTTTTTTTTTCTTGCTGTTTTGGACTAAAGAATACTGGGCTTTTTAAAAGCCCCAGACTCCCTTGCTTTTGGGAATGACCACTTGACAGCTGACCACTACTGGTTTGGTAACAGAGATTGGACTGGAAACTGAAGGTTTTGATTTTTAAAAACATTTAAGAAGGGAATAAGTAGAAATCCCCTCTCAGGTTTCTGGCTGCTGTATTTTCTTTAACTAGAAGAAAGCCTATCCTGACCCAACGTAACCAAAAGTTAACAAGTTTTCTGATAATTCCAATGAGCTGTCATTATTCTTTTGAAACTTACTGTTATAGAACACAAAACAAAACAAGCAAACAAAACCCCCCAAACCAAAAAAGACTGTTTCTATTCTACCAAATTTTCTTTTATGACAGTTTAATATAATCCTAATAAAAACTTCTGTAATTTACCAGCTTCTTACAACACTGACCAACTCAAGATTTAATGGCAGTGCTGCCCTATTTAAGAACTCTGAGTCCCAACACAACTACCATCAAATTGAGCTCTATTTGAAACCTGCTGAACAGAGAATTAAACTCACTTTATTACAGGCTGTTACCTACAAACAAATCTCTTTATATGTTTAAAACTCACCACATCTTTCTCCCTTAAGAAAAAATACACACGCGTGTTAAGAATACACCTATGTTCTTACATCCTCTAGCTTGTCACAGTCTCTGTTCTCTGAGAAGTCTCCATTCCGGTCATCCTTCAGCGTCTTCAGGAATTCGCTTTTCCTGTCGGTAGTTCGGCGGGTCAATTTGGTGAGACGAGAGGAGCTGATCTCAATTGGAGGAGTGGTGCTAGAGGGACTCTGGGCAAATACCACAAATATGTTGTTCCTGACAGCAGAGAGCAAGAACTGGGATTCTCTGGTTCTTTTCTAAAATGTAGATTTCTAGAATTTGGAATCCTGCTTGTCTTTTACCAAAACACAAACTATCCTTTTCCTTTAAACAGACTTCAGCTTTGCAGAGTTCTTTTCATTCAGACTGAAGGGCTTATGTAGAACATCACTGTTCTTTCTACAGGTACCAGCAGAATGCCAGTGTAATGTGGGCCAACCTTACTCTACAAAAGAGCAAGAAACTATACAACTTTGCTACTGCCCTTCTTTGAATGCGGACAGAAAATATCAGTAAAGAAATTACTTTGGGCTAGCATGGTTACAATGAAAATGTATTTAGAACTGTATACATCATACTGGGTGTCTTAGTATATTAACTAAGTGGGAAATTAAGCTTTAGAAAAGGTGCCCAATTTTATCCTCACTTACCTCTTTGGGAGAGTTTAGAATTGCACCACCAGCCAGCACTACTGGTTTGGTAACAGAGATGGGACTGGTAAAAGCAGACTCCCGGCTACAGGAAAGGGATCCTGATTTGTGTTCCATTCTGTTAGCTTTCCACGCACTTGGCTATATAGGAAAAAAGAACAAATCAGAACAAGTATGCAGACAGGACCTCAGCTTGAAAGACTGTAAAATAAAAAGTGAAATGACATACGGAAGCATGAGTTTCCAGAGTTAACCTGTCTCAACATGTCTGAGAAGTATGCAACCTCTTTCTGAGGGTAGGCACTTGAAAGAAAAAGACAGTAGAAACCAGAAGAGCCAGAATGTCAATAGCTTTTTCTCAGAAGAAGAGTCCTAGTTTAATAAGCTTTGGACACATTGAGTAAATAAAGTTCTAGAGGTTCTCAAAGCACTGAATTGTACATGTGAACTTAAAAGGATGTAGATACAATACAGAGCATTTCCTAAATTTAACTGACCCTAATGTTTTCTTTTAAGATGTCATAACTTATTAACCTCTGATATAATCCTGCTATCTTTTAAAAACAACACACCAGAAAATTGCTGTGTTCTAGGAACTTCAATGGCAGGAGGCTAGTTCCAAACCATGGTGGGCAATGTGAAGATCTGGGTAACTCAGAAGCCCTTTGTTTGTGCAGTCTGTGGAGCCTAGGCCCAATATGTCATTCTTGCTCTGGCCCCAACTATGATGGCAGGCAGCACAGTACTGCCATTCTATTCTTTCTTGAGTTGTTAACACTGTCTCAGAAGAACAGGAACAGATATGTCAATGCAGTGAGGGTGAAGCAAGGGAAAAGCATCTGTTTTTCCGGAACGAGGCATTAAGTACAAAAGTAGTAAAAAAATATCCTTGGTATTGAAGAGGCTTTAGGCAGGGCATTAACAAGTATGTACCATGTAGATAATTGTCAGAATGTTTTAATTCTTAACCCAATCAGATCTAATTATGTCAACATTTGATACAGAATGACATTGAGATTAGAGAAGTTATGCAATTTGTCCAAAGTTACTCAGCACTTATGTGATACTGTCTTTTCACAATACATCCAAAAAGGATATATAAGACATCCAAATGCGGATGTACATTTTTCCCCCTGGTGTTGATGACAATCTGAAGATGGGTGTTTATATCAGGCTACTATCAAAAATGATTGATCCAAGGACTCACTGATGGTCAGGAGTTTACCGACAGTGCTATCAAGCTATCACCAGCCACTGCAACATGAGTCTGATCCCTTGCCAGCTAGAGAGCTAACGCACATGGTGCAGTGGACCTCTCCTGTCTTGTTCACTGTGACCTGCAGCAGTGTATTTCAATAGATTCACCTGTTCTGCTCCCCACTGTGTCTCTGTGGATCCTCTCAGCTCCCCCCTCACACCATCACATCTCTGGCCTGCATCCCAGTTCTTGTATGCATAAATAAATCTTTAAATAAAACTAAAACTGTAGTGGCTTTCCCACAGTTGTAATGATATATCTTGTCTTGCTTTTAACACTGTCATCTCAGATCATAGGAACATTTCTTTTATACAATAGTACCCATACAGCTCTGTCCAACTTTATTTCAACTTAGTTTTAATTTTCAACAAGTCAAACATGAAGCGATATATAGATGGCCACTCACTGGAGAAAACCACTATACCCAAACCCTTTTTGATAATATATGTAGAAATTCACTAAAACAAATCACATAGTAACCATAGCTTTCTGATCAAGGATGAACAAAATGGCATTTGCACAGCTGGATAGCCACATGCAAAAGAATGAAACAGGACAACTATTTTATACTACATAGAAAACTAACTCAAGATGAATTAAAGTCTTGAATGTAACACCTAAAACCATAAAATTCCTTGAAGAAGAAAACTGGTAGCAAGCTCAACAGTGGTCTCAGTGATGAGTTTTTTATTCTGACTCCAACATCAAAGGCAATGAAAGCAAAAATATACTGCCAGGATTACATCAAACTAAAAAGCTTGTGCAAAAAGCAAAGGAAGTCATCAGGAAAATGTACAGCAGAAAATACTTGCAAATCACATACCTGAGGGATTACTATCCAAAATACAACAACTCATACACTCAATAGTTTAAGAAATCAAAAAATCAAATTATAAAATGAGCAGAAACTATGAACTAGTATGTTTGTAGAAATGATATAAGATGGCTAACAGATATATGAAAATACGTTTAATATCACTAACTAGGCAAATACAAATTAGTAAGTTATACGTATTAAACTGGTTTATATCAAAAAGACATGCTGTTAAGAATTTGAAAAAAAGGGAGCCCTTATGCACTGCTGATGGGAATGTAAATCAGTGCAACCACTATGAAAAACAATATTGGAGTCTTAAACTATTAAAAATAGAACTTCATATTATCTAGGAATGATACTTCAGGATATTTATGTGACAAAAACACTAACAAAATGGTATATGGCCTCCCCCATGCTTAATTAAACATTTTTACAACAGCCAAGATAAGGAAGTAACCTAAGTGACCAGTGTCAAATGAATGGATAAAGAAAATATATCTACACATATACACATAATGTATTATTACTCAGCTATAAAAAATGAATGAAATTTGGCCATTTATAACAATGAATAAGTCAGGCAGAGAAAGACAAATGCCCTGATATTTCACTTATATGTTGAATGTAAAAGAGAAACAAAAAACCAATGAAGTCCATGGATACAGAGAACAGATTGAGAGTATCTAGGGTTAAGACGTGGATAAGGAACAAAATCAAAGCTAAAATTTAAAGAATTTAATGGCCCTCCTGGGTGGCTCAGGTTAAAGCACAGCACAGCAAGCTAGCCACAGCCACTTTAGCACAAGTTTGATCTCCAGCCCTGGACGTGATCCACATGGTGTGACAGACCTCTCCTGACCTGCCTGCTGCTCCCCTCAGCAGTATACTTCATCAGTCTGCCTGTTCTGCTCCCCACTCTGTCTCTGGTGAATTCTCTCACCACCCCTGCACCTTTGGTTTGTACCCCAGTTCTGTATGTATAAATAAATTATAAAAATCTTAAAAAAAATTTTTTTTTGTTATAAAATAAACCTGGAAAAAAATGTATCTGGGATATAGTGTATAGCATGTTGACTATATTTAATAACACTGTGTTGTATATATTAAAACTGCTAACCTGTATCTTAAAGGTTCTCAGCAAGGAAAAAATTCTGTAGTTATGTATGGTAATGGATGTTAAGTCAGACTTACTGTGTTCATTTTGTAATATACTTTATATAAACATCAAACATTATGTTTGTAACATAATGTTACACATCTGAAATGAGTACAATGTTTTGCCAGTTATATTTCAGTTAAAAAAAAAAAAAAGATCATCTGTTGCAACTAGCAAAGCTTAAAATATATACAATCCCTTTTAAGATAAGTTTACCAGCTCTTGTTGTAGATGGTTTGGAAGCACTGAAGAGATTAAGGAAAGGATGTATTTCAGGGTTAATATTCTCTACATTTCTATGATAGAGGGATGAGGAAATAGAATTGACTACAACAGTAAATGTAAGAAAACAAGGGCATGTGACATTACAGCAGGGAATCACTGATAGGAACTTTGTTAACTGCTTGGTAAAAGGGAAATGAGAAATGAGGAGGGGACAAAAAGCAGGCCAAGAAATGTAACTGAGTGATCAGATGGAGGCTGAAGCTATAAAGAGAAAACCAGGAGAAGCAGGTTTAGCTGCAGCTGTAAAGTTGGGAGACAGAGTCCAATCCTACATTTTAAACAGGCACCATGAATATCTGGTGAATGATTCAACAGAAAAAAATTAATTTACTAATTTTGCTTTTCCTGATTTGTATCCAGACCTCTGCTATATAATAGAGGTTCTCATAAATTGGTTCCAAATCATACCTTGGAAGGAGGGGGTGCAGGCTTAGGGACCAGGTTCTTATAAACACTTGGAACTGTGATTAATGGTTTGTTCCCATTTGCATGGTGCGATCCTGGTGAGGTGAATGCAGCAGAGAAGGCAGCAGAAGGATCTTCTTTGGAAACTTTCTTGATGACTAACATTTTGGATGGTTGCTTGGCACTAGGCGGGTTTTCTGTGAAATACAATAGTGGAAAGACAAAAGAACATCAAACCTATTGGCTAACATGAAGTATAGTTTATACAATAGCCTCACTTTCAATAAAGAGCTTAAAGTTGAGTCTGAGGGGCAAAAATTTCCTGGGGTTCGCTTAACAGTCTCAAAAATGATACTACTCAGAAACCATAGAAAAAAAAAAGCAGCATATGAAGTGCTTAATTCTAAACTCATATCAACCAGAAAACCCAAAGGTATTCATCTTTCAGGAGTCTAATGTATCTACTGTATGCTATGATTCCTAAGGTACAGACAGGCCAAAAAGGAATTTATTGAAAGGTAGCACCAGTCAGCATGGGAATGGAGAGGGATAAGGAAACTAGGGAAGGAGTATGCCATGGAATGGGACCTTCTAATAAGGCAAAGAGGAGTAAAATCACACACCATTAACAAAGGGAAAATGGTACCACAATCACCCCTAATTCAAGCCAAGTCTTTACATGTACTAAATCCTTCCCAATAAGATGCCTAACTATTAAACATGTTTATTAATAATGTAGGGGCTAGGAAAGTTCAAATTGTAACTGCTAAAAACCCCAAAGCCACAGATCAGGTACAGTTTGAAATATGATGACTAGTTGCTGCTGATTTTTATAAAGCTAGTTACTCTCAACATATAAACGTGTGTATGTCTTCCCCTGCCCCTGTAAAACAAGCATTATTTACAATGCCAAAAAATAAATAAACCTCAACAATTAGAACCTGATAGCTATATATTATATAGCCTTTCAAAGGACACTTTACAAGAGTATTTAGTAATTTGAAAGATTGTTTAGAACATATGCCGATCAAGTATTGGGGCAAATATAACTCAAATGTCGTCACTGCTACAAATTAGCAATGTTAATTAAAAATTACTTATGTGCTATACTATTCTTCTTTTGCTTAAAATATTCTTCCAAATTAAGCATTCCACAAATTATCAGTAACCACTACCAATACATTTTAGTGGCATTTTAGTAGGGTCCACAGTTAAGAGCTAATAAGTGTTAGTTACCATGTGCAATGGATGATAAGAAACAAGACATAAAGAAACAAACAAGAGCTAGAAGAATTTCTGCACTTATCCCTGATAAGAAAAATTTAAGGTTGTGCCTTAAAAACAGCAAAATCTACCTACCCCACACTCCAGAAGGGGTCCCAATAGGTCTGCATGGCTGATTCTGTTTGCCAGCTTCTGGATTCAGAGAAGGCTAGGAAAAAAGGGATATTAGTGATTGATAGAGAAAGCTAGCTGTTTGGGCACTTTCTGCAAAGTTGCCATCACCATGGAATCTACCAAAAATAATTATGTTACCAGCAGCACTTATTAAACACTGTGTTCAAAATTAACAAACAGATGATGTTGAAATGCAAAACTAGTCTTATATTTATCTTAGGTTGTCTTGGGTTTCCTTTCCTTTATATAAAAATTGTTATTTTTAAAATAAATAAAATGTACAAATTCTCATTTTCTAGGATATATATATGTCAAATATGGAGGCACAAAAAGCTGAATAAACAAGAATGTAGATCGCTTTATTCAGATTTAAGGAGGCAATCTGGTCAATAAAATGGGTAGTATTCATAACATTCCTACAACTGCTTTTAGGGCAGAAGCAGACTGAAGAATCCAAAGGCAATTAAGACAAAAGAAGAGCCCTTGTCCACACAAAAGTCATAGTCTTCTTATAAAAATAAAACTGTAGAAAAGAAAGTGCAATAAAGTTAAGAGATGGCTTTATAAAAATTTGCATTAGGGAAGGAGAACAAAGTAAAGAATGTTCAATTCCATGTTAAAGTGCTGTAAGGAAAGGTTTCATTAGATGTAGTGACTTAGAATAAATCTAAGTAATCATTTAAGAATGACTTCAAGAAAAATCCAACGAAAAAGGGCGATTCCAAGAAGTCAATGTTCAATGGATATTAAGACAGGAAAGCATCAAAAGGAATATTCAGAGACCTGCATGATTAGTGCTAGGGGAAGGAGGTGGCCCTTTCTCAGAGAAAGAGATGTCTGCAAAAGTAATATGCAGGAAACAGACTTGCAGAGTATTTTTTTTTACATCATTTTGCACATTTTTTTTTTTTCATCTCAATTGTAATCCCCACGGGTTTCCCATCACCAAATCACCCCTGTGCCACCACCACAGTCCCGTGCATTTCCCTCCCTTTCCCCCTCCCCCGTTTTTGGTCCTTGCAGAGTATTTTTAAGGTAGGTTTAACTTTATTTTGAAGTTAACTTTATTTTGTAATATGGAACTTCATACTACAAAGTTATGATCCAAACAGTCTACAAAAGTCTGGTAGCATATAGAGGGGATTTAAACATCAATTAAGAACATTAGAAGACAAATTCAATAGTTTGGGAGAATAAAGAAGACAACATGAGTATAAAAAGAAATGAAGGAAAGAATGGAGAAATTTAAATAGCAATAAATTGTACTTAGTAACTAACTGTTTGGGGGTGTGAGGGTAACATGGGTGTCCTAATCCAAATGTTACAATCCGTTAAGTAGGAAAAATGCTTTTTGTCACAATTGCCTGTGTAACATAAAATAAAAAGATGCCCAGGATCCACTATAGAAATTTCTGAATGACATTTGCAGATGTGGCATCACATTAGGTACTATTTTCAAACTGTCAGGGTACAACCACTAGTACAGAGTAAGTACAGATACAAACTGAACTACCAACTATGAATGGAGACAAATAAAACTCCTTTGGATGGACTAGTATAAGAAGCTACTCTGGTTGCTTTCTTGTTTAATAGGCCTGGGTTCTTACTCTACCAAGGGTTTTCAAAGATACTAACCTACCCATAGGGTATCTGCAATCGCACTCCACTGATGTGTAGAAACTTTAACACAGATACAGGAAAGTACATAAAACAAATGGGTAAGGTTCTTGTTATCACCACTTAGCTTAAGCAATAGAACATCAGTATACATAAACATTAAAAAAAAAATTCCTTCCTTCTAAAAATAACCAATATCTTGACAGACTGCATTTCTTTAACCACCAAAAAGTGTTCCTCAAAATTAGATTTACTTTAGGCCTCCTGGTGGTGCAAGTGGTTACGTGTCAGCACGATGAAGCTACTGCCAGCCATTGCAGTATGAGTTTGATCCCCAGCCGCTGGGAGCTGACCCACATGGCACAGCAGATCTCTCCTGTCTCTCCTGTCCCCTTTAGCAGTATATTTCAATCTGCCTGTTCTGCTCTCCACTCTATCTCTATGCCCTATACCCCAGCTCTTGTATACACAATCTTTAAAATTAAATTTAAAATTAAATTTTAAAATAAAATTTTAAAAGTCATCTCTGAACTTTCTTGATTTACAAGTTACTCAAAAATCTTGTATATGTCTTTATTCCTTTAAATGGTAGTTGATTACAGGTTATAAACGTCTTCCTTTTTTTATTCTGGCAAGGTAATTTCTTGGTTTTGGGTTTTTCTATTATGGGACATTTGACAGTTTTTTTTTTTTTTTAATTTATGTATTTATGCATACATAACTGGGGTACAGGCCAGAGGTGCAGGGATGGTGAGAGGATTCACCATAGACAGAATGGGGAGCAGAACAGGCAGATTGACTAAGTACATTGTTGAAAGGAGCAGTGGATGGAAAGGAGAGGTCTACCACACCATGTGGATCACCTCTAGAGCCAGGGATTAAACTCACACTAAAGCGGCTGGCTTGCTTGCAGTGCTGCACTTTAACCTGCTGCATCACCAGGGAGGACCTGATGGTGCTTCTTGTGATGTTGGCAGACATTAATGCTTATAGTCTGAAACTAGTAGCTCACTGCAAAACAATATTCATTTATTATTTTTTACTATTAAGTATCCATCAAAACTTCCTCTTGTCTGCTATTTGTGCTTCAGTGACAGTTTACATGGAAAAGAGAATACATGCATGTTACTTAGTTTTAAAAAGATTTTATTTATTTATTTTTAAGATTTATTTATTTATTCATATAGAACTTGGGTACAGGCCAGAGATGCAGAGGGTGAGAGGATTCACCAGAGACAGAGCGGGGAGCAGAACAGGCAGATCAACGAAGTACACTGCTAAGGGGAGCAGCGGGTGGGTGAGGAGAGGTCTGCCTCGCCATGTGGATCTCCTCCGGGGCAGGTGGGAATTGAACTCATGCAGAAGTGGTTTAAGCTTCTTAGTGCAGTGCTTTAACCCGCTGCGCCACCAGGGAGGGCCGAAAAGATTTTATTTATTTATGCATACAAGAACCAGGGTATGGGCCAGAGATGCAGGCGGTGAGAGGGTTCACAAGAGACAGAGTGGGGGACAGAATGGTAGACTGACTGAAATCCACTGCTGAGGGGAGCAGTAGGCAGGACAGGAAAGGTCTGTTACACTATATGGGCCAGCCACCTCCCTGGCTGGGGATTATGCTGCAGTGGCTGCAGACAGACCCAATGCTGTGCCTTAACCCCTTGCATCACCAGGGAGGCCTCACATGCTTGTTTCTAAGGTGAGATATCACTGTGAACTTAGACTTACTCATATTCAATATGATTTAAGTCCTTGCTGTTTTCATCCTTTATTGATGCATTGAGTATCCCATATTTAGCCAATGGGAATTTCAATTTGGTTTCTGAATCCTTTTTATCCAACCCTAACAGTAATTTACTTCTTTACTACAAAGTATGATAAGTATTTCAAGTCTGCACAGAAATGGTATTTCAAGACAACAATCTTGGCACTAGGGATGTTCACTAACATGCTTAAGTCTTTTCAGCAGACAGAACCTGGAAATGCGCACGCGCACACACACAAACATACACACAAACAAACATACTCTAAAGTAAAATAATCCTTGAACTTCTCATTGATATTTCCAGTTCAAGCTGAGTACTGTGCTTTTCTTAAAATCCTGGTTGTATTTATTTTTAAAGATTTCATTTATTTTTGCATAGAAGAACAGGATACATGTAGGCCAGAGGTACATGGGGTGAAAGGATTCACCGAAGATAGAGTGAGGAGCAGAACAGATAGATATACTGAAATACACTACTAGGGGGAAGCTGGTAAAGACAGAAGACATCTGCTGTCAGCTCCCTGGCATGGGGTGAAGGGTGGGGTAAAACTCAGGCCTTCAATGACATATGGTATACAACATAATATTCACTTTATTCCCGTATCACATAAAACAGTCTCAAAATAACATCACAAAAAAATGTTAATTTTTGTGTATACTCTCTCCCATGAAAAAAAACTATATATTTAGACTCTCAGAGCCCTAAGTTCTTATATGCTACACTCTTTAAACTCTCATGGAATCTTAGTTCTCCAATTAACTGGATCTTTAATGTCTACTACCATTCCTTTTGTTTTTATTTTTCCAGTTGGTTTGGTTATCTGAAGCTTGTTGTCTAGTATTTTGCTCAGAGAAAGTCTTTGAAAAAATATTCTGAGTTCTTACATACATTGATAGGCCTGTGACCTTTGTAAGTGGGAGTTAGTTTGACAGAGTACAAAGTCCTTAGCCTGTATTTTCCTTCTCTTGAGTACTGTTACTTCATTGACTTCTGTTATAAACCTCTGTTGTCAAAGTTAGTATTTTTTTTTTTAAAGATTTATTTATGCATACAGAATTGGGATACAGGCCAGAGGTGCAGGAGTGGTGAGAGGATTCACTAGAGAAGCGTGGAGAGCAGAACAAGGCAGCAGACTGCTGAGGTCAGGAGAGATTTGCCGTGCCATGTGGTCACCTCTGGGGTGGGGATCAAACTCATGCTGAAGTGGCTTTAACTTCTCAGTGCTGTGCTTTAACCCACTGCACCACCAGGGAGGGCCAGTATCTGACTTTCACTTTGTCTTTATGTCAGACTAACCAAAGAATGTTTTTTTTTTTTTTTTTGCCTAAGTCTAGTATTTTATAAAATACCTAGGCATGGGCCCTCTCTGGGGCGTAACAGTTTAAGGAAGCAGTACTGCAAGCTAGCCGTAGACGCTTCTGTACAACTTCGATCCCCAGCCCTGGAGGTGGTCCACAAGGCATGTCAGACTTCTCCTGACCCGCCTGCTGCTCCCCTTAGCAATGTACTTCGTTGATCTGCCTGTTCTGCTCCCCGTTCTGTGTCTGGTGAATTCTTCCACTGCCCCTGCACCTCTGGCTCGTACCCCAGTTTTGTATGCATAAATAAATCTTCAAAAAAAAAAAAAAAAAACAGGCCCTCCCTGGTGGTTCAGCGGAGTTAAAGCACAGCAGTAAGAAGCTAAAGCCACTTCCACATGAGTTCGATCCCCGCCTGCCCTGGAGGTGACCATATGGCGCGGCAGACCTCTCCTCACCCGCCCGCTGCTCCCCTCAGCAGTGTACTTCATTGATCTGCCTGTTCTGCTCCCCGCTGTGTCTGGTGAATCCTCTCACCCTCCGCATCTCTGGCTTGTACCCCAGTTCTATATGAATAAATAAATCTTAAAACAAACAAACAAAAACAAAACAAAACAAAAACCTACTAGGTGTTGGCTGCTTTGACTATTATTTCAACCTGCAGCTTCAAACTGTACTGTACACTTCAGTAAATTATTCCTTTGCTACAATGTTAGCATTAAAATGGTTCTTTTGTTTTTGGCTTTCTTTTTGTTGGAGGGGAAGAATCCTATTATGTTGCTCTTATTAGTATCTCTTAAATTTTAAAATAATAGGTTATGGCTTTATGTTTTGTGGGCATATCTTGTATATTTTGCATGTTATACTGCTCCATGTGTCCTGTTATTTGTTTTTATGTGAATGATTTTCTAACATTATGATTTTTATCTCTCCTGTTGTTTTCACAGAATGTTCAAAAAGATGGTGGCTTACTTTCTTTGATATTCTGGTCTACCTCTGTTCACACCCCCACCCTGAAATATGAGCCTTCTTTCCCTTCTCCAGTGTCTCTGTAGTTCAATGTGGATTTCATTTCCAATAGTTCTGTCATCAGTGAGGTCAGCTTTGTTCTGGAAGGGAATACTGCGATGGTTAGGAACTATATAACCCTATGCTGGCTATCCATTTATTGCTTCCTTAGTTATCTTTTTTTTTTTTTTTTAAAAAAGATTTATTTATTTATTTATTTATACATACAGAACTGGGTACAGGCCAGAAGTGCAGGGGCAGTGAGGCTTCACCAAAGACAGAGTGAACAGGCAGATTGACAAAGTACACGGCTGAGGGGAGCAACAGCAGGAGAGACAGGGAAGGTCAGCAGAACAATATGGGCCACCTCCTGGCCAGAGATCAAACTTGCATTCAATGGCAGCTTGTAGTGCTGTGTCCTAACCTGTAGTGCCACCAGGGAGGGCCTCAGTTATCTTCTTTTTGCCTGCTCTGCATAAATGTAGAGCATTAACTTTTGTTTCTTGTTCCAATGTGCTTATTCAGCAAACTCCTGCACTACTGGTTTCTGCTGATAAGTTCTAAAGTACAAGTGAGCTCTAACTTGAGAGGTTTTATAGCACAGTGACATCTGGGTACATCAGATATTCTACTGGGCAGATTATATCAGGTTCCCTATAAAAGCAACTGTCAGTCACAGAACCCTTCTCATTATGGTCTAGATTTCAATTCTGGGGTTGAGATGGGAGAATGGGCAATTCTTCTATGGATGCTCTATTTCAGTCCTAAGGTTATTGGATGCTGCTTGTTTCTACAACTTTTATAATCTTTCATTTTCCCTTCACTTATTAGTCAATCACTCATTTCCCCAATCTTATTGTAGTTAATTCTATATATTAAGTTTCCTGGTTTAAATTGTTATATCTTCTTTCCAAATTAGTTCTATTGGATCTACTCATACCTGACCTCAGAACCCATCTTTACAAGTTTTGGGAATATGGAAAATCACTCCTAATTTCTAACTACTATCTGAGTTGTACCCTCTTAACTTTGTGTTCTTTTGCGAATTTTGGGACTATCATGTGTCATTTACTTCCTTCAAGTTCTTCTGCATAAACACTATCAAGATTTTACAGCTCTTGATGATTTGCCTCTACCTGTTTACATTTTTAAGAGTTACTTTGCTTTTTGTTTCAGGTAATGTTCAAGAATTTTTTTAGTTCCTCAATCCCAGTAACTGTGTTCTTTCTTATTTTGAAATAATTTCCAACTTAAATGTATGTCTTCTATAGCAAAACAAAGTCGAAAACAGTTTTTCCCTCATCCATTATCCAAGCTAGGTTCACATGCTGCTTTTAGTTGTTCAACCTCTGTTGTGTTTTTAAAATCTTTCCCCCCCCCCCCAAACTCTAGCATTTTATGAATAGAGGCAGGTTCTTTTCTAGAAATCTCAATTTCGGACTTTTCTTCATCATTAAATCTAGACTATGTATTAAAAAAAAAAAGGTTTATTTATGTATACATCCAGAACTGGGGTACAAACCAAAGGTGTGGGGGGGAGGGGATGAGAGGATCCACCAAAGACAGAGTAGTGAGCAGAATAGGCAGATGTACTGAAATACACTGCTGAGGGGAGCAGTGGGCTGGTCAAGAGAGGTCTGCCACGCCATGTGGGTTACCCACCTGGCCAGGATCAAATTCATGCTGTAGTGGCTGCAATAGCTTCAAAGTGCTGTGCTTTAATCTGTTGCACCACCAGCAAGGGCCCACACTATGCATTTTTAAAAGGAATTCACCAAAGCAACATTATGCCTTTGGGGGTATCATGAAGAAGCTTTTAATATCCACCTGTCCTAGGTTTGGTGACAATATACACAACTGTATGTTTAGGTATATAGGCTTCACCTTTTTTTGAAAAATAAAAATTTTACATACAAAAATACACACAAATACTAAGTATACCATCCCATGAGTTCTAATTTTCTATCCGAGTATTAGAATGTCATATAAGTGAAATCAAACAGTGTGTATGTACCTTTTTGTATAAGACTTCACTGAAATTCATTATATTATTGGATCAGCCATTTCTTTATTACTAAGTAGGTTACTTCATGAGCAGATGGCACAGTTTCTAATTTTGTGTTGGTAGACATTTAAATTGCTTTCAATTTCAGAGTATTATGAATAAAATTATAATAAACACATATATATTCAATATTTTCATTAATCTTGAGTTAAGGCCTATAAATGTTAAGTCCTGGGTAGTGGAATAGACTTAAATTTAGTTTTTAGTTTTTTTTTTTTAAAGATTTATTTATTTGTGCATACAGAACTGGGGTACAGGCCAGAGGCTCAAGGGCGGTGAGAGGCTTCACCAGAGACAGAGTGGGGAACAGAACAGGCTGACTGACGAAGTACACTGCTGAGGGGAGCAGCGGGCGGGTCAGGAGAGGTCTGCCCCACCATGTGGTCACTTCCGAGGCAGGCGGGAATCGAACTCATGCGGAAGCAGCTTTAGATTCTCAGTGCTATGCTGCGCCACCAGGGAGGGCCGACTTAAATTTAGTTTTATAAGAAACTTCCAGATCTTTTCCCAAAGTGGTTGCATTACTTCACCCTGTCACTAACAATATATTAAGAGTTCCAGGGCTCCAAATGATTACCAAATACAATGTTTTCAGACTTTTATATTAGCAATTCTGATGAGTTTATAACAGTATCAACCAGGGGTCTTAATCTGATACATCTGTCATACAATTGACACTAAGATTTTTTTCTGTGCAATTATTTGTATATCTTCCTTTGTGAAATGCTGTTTAAATGAGCTCATTGTTTATTTTCCTTTTTATTATTGAGTAATAAGAGAAAGTCATGTTATAAATAAATGTCCCCTTTCAAATCTGTATCTTGTGCATATTTTCTGAGTCTGAGAGTTAAGTGGACATTTAAAAATTTTAAAGTCCAATTTATCAATGTTTTCCTTTATGGTACTGCTTTCTATAGTCAGAAAGACAGCCCTTCTGACTATTCCCTAAGCTAGAAAGACATTTTAAGTTTTCTTTTTTTTTAAAAAGATTTATCTGTTTGTGCATGCAAGAGCTGAGGTGCAGGCCAGAGGTACAGGGGGTGAGAGAATCCACCAGATATAGAGTGGGGAGCAGAACAGGCAGATCTACTGAAATATACTGCTGAGGGGGGGCAGCAAGCGAGACAGAAGGGGTCTGCTATGCCATGTGGGTCACCTCCCTGGCCAGTGATCAAACTTGTGGTGAAGCAGCTGCAGCCAGCCTTGTGGTGCTTCACTTCAACCTGGTGCGCCACCAGGGAGGGTGCTCTCTATCTGCCTTTTTAACATTAAAATGGCCACCACCAAAGTAATGGTCATTAAAGTGCTACTTTAAAGTATCTAGAACTGCACCATTCAATATAGTAGTACATCAGGTTGCTGAACATTTAGAATATGCATAGTATTCTCTGCAATGTGGCACTCAAATAATATGTAATACACAAAGGATTTTGAAGACCAAGTACAAAAAATAACAAATTATCTCAATAATTTAGATATTGGCTACATGTTAAAAATCATACATAATTTGTGTATATTTGATTAAATAAAATATATTAAACTTTTTAAAAAGTGCATTAAAAGCTCCTCTGTTGGTTTTAGAGCCAAAATGCATGTAATTCAACATATAACACTATCAAGTTTTATTGAATATACAGACTTTTGACAGCTAAAATGTTCCTAATTATATGTTTGTAACTCATCTCTCTCACACAGAATTTCGGTCATCATCATCACACTAATCAACTCCTTCCTTCTAAAAATAGTAAAAACAAATTCAGGGAAACCCTTTTAATATTTTCTAAAATGTTCTCCATACTACCATATTTAACACTTTGTTGAGACAAAGTCTATGGTTTTAACTACACATCTAAACCTTCATACTTACAAAGTCTTCTTCTTCAAACTGCAACTTTTCCATCTTGTCTTCTTTCTTGTCTTCCCTAATCTCTGAAGGTGGCTTTTCCTGAAAGGCACAGCCTTTCCGGGAGTGGAAGCTGCCATTCCAGTGGCGATGGTTCCCTGTGCCACCTCCACTACGCTGGTTCATGCCATCATGACCTCGTGAAGAGCTATGCCAACCAGACAGGTTCCCTGTGATTCCAGCATATGCTCCCTTAGAGACACCAGAGTCCACAGAATCATGACGGAACAGGGAGGGTTGGTGCCAGGAATCTAGAATAAGGAAAAGGAACATATTAGAATGCTTGCTTCCTGGAAAGTCAACAGTTGCAGGAGACTAGAATTTTAAAAAGCAAAGTTAGATTGTTTGCTTCTTGAAATTCAACATTGGCTAAGATACTTTCTGATCTAATTTATGATACAGCCAGAAGACCTTCAGGAATGTTTAAAATAAAACTAAATTCACAAAAATCAACTTTTTTTGGAGGTAATATGAGTTGTATGAGTTTTTCAAGTGAATAAATGACTCACAAAAACATGAGAATGATAGAAAATGAATGAAGTTGAGGATCTAACTGAGAGCAATATTTTAAAAAGATTATTTCAGAATTACAGACACCCTCAGATTCAGTCTGTTCTAATGAACAGTTCAAATGTAGTCATGAGAACTGGGGTTGGCTCACCTCCTGTAGTTCGCAGAGGTCCATTGTTAAAAAAGCCATCAGAGGAATTATGTCTTCGACGGCTTACTCCAAATCTACCATCTCCTCGTGGTAGGTGCTCTCCGTGCTTTTCAAAGGTGGCTGTAGGTGACTTACATGATATAGCAAAGAGATATGTGAACAATAAGTCTCTCAGCATTTTAAGTTTTGCATCAGGTTGTTAGAAAACAAGTAGTAAATGACCCAGAAGCCCACATTATAAGCATAGGGGCCTTAATAAGTATACAATGGGTTTTTGAGTTAGAGAAGTTCTAAGTCACATATTCAGTAATTAATTCTTTTTCTTTTATTTGTCCCAGAAGAGAAGGCAGTTACTCCAATTGTTAGCAGGAGAGAAGGGGGGAGAGGGAGAGAAACCCCTGTTAGTATCCATAAAGAATAAGCTCTATATAACAACTTCTTATTAAGCTAACCTTGCAACAGGAAAGGAAAAGCAAGGGGTTTGCGTTTTAAAAAACAACATTAAGTTTGTTATTTCTGTAATTTATCTAAAACTGGAAAGGAGTGGTTTAAGTATCACCTTGGTAGGTCATTAACAACTATACAGAGATTTTAAAGTTTTGTATATAAAACAATTCCAAACATTATTTAATAGTCATAGCAGTACTAGCTATAATTTGGCATTATCCCTATTTCACTCATTTACAAATGAGGAAATAAGTCAGAAAGAATAAATCTTTGATGCTATACAACTAAAAGGAATTAACTGAAGAAATGCTATTAAAGTTGAGCCCTAATATTCCTTCTTATTTTGTGACACTGTTTAGTCTTAAAAAGTAAAAAAAAAAAGCCAGAAAATCATGAATTATGAATGTGGATGTTTGACGTCTTATATGAAAACTATAGAATATGGCATATATGTTTATACAACTATTCTTTAATGTTTTCATTAATACTTGACATTAGTCTTTAGTCATTCTAATTAACCACACAAAAATTTTAATATAAAAGACTTATTTATTTATGCATATAAGAACTGTGTCGGCCAGAGGTGCAGGGGAAATGAATGGATTCATCAGGGACAGAGTTGTGGAGCAGAATAGGCAGAAATATTGAGATGTACTGCTGAGGGGAGCAGCAGGCAAGATAGGTCTTCTGTGCCATGTGGGTCAGCTCCCTGGCCAGGGGTTGAACTCATATGCTAAACTGGCTGGTGATGGCTTGATAGTGCTAAGACTTTAACCCATGCAGCACCAGGGAAGCCCAAGACAATTCTTCTTTACATATATAAGATCTGCGTATTAAATGCATTCTTGGATCCCATACCTACATACTTCAGTACCCCTAAGACTGGGGTCAGATTATGTCAAGTACGAGATACTGTAAATTTCATAAGGGTAATTCAAATGAATCAAGTTTAGAATAAAAGTTTGGACAGTTGGAAAACACTTCCCAAAATCCACATTCAAAATAGGTAAGGTAGACCATTTTAGGGGAAGCTACTTATCAACTCTGTTGCTCTTCTATTATTGGCAAAATGGGGAATGCTTTTAAGTTTGCTAGCTTTCAAAAGGTTTCCTTTACCAATAATTTACACCGTTGGACCTCCCTAGTGGTACAAGTGCAGTACTATAAAGCTATCCACCGCCACTGCAGCATGAGTTAGATCCCCTTTCCCCCCACTGTCTCTGATGAATCCTCTCACCCCCCTGCACCTCTGGCCTATACCCCAGTTCTTATATGCATAAATAAAAAATTTTTTTAAACCATCATAACCATTTTTTATAATGTTTATTTTTACATCATTTTGTACATTTTTTTTCATGTCAATTGTAATCCCCGTGTGTTTCTCATCACCAAGTCACCTATGTGCCATCACCATAGTCCAGTACACTTTCCTCCCCCCACTGTTTAATAAAATTAGACCAGAAATCCTCAAGGTATGACCATTAAAAATAAAATACTCAAACTATAAAACAGAGGCTATAAAATCAAAAGATGAAAAGAGCTGGTATTTGAATGAAGAACAGTACCTTAGCTGACTGAGGTGTTGAGAAATTTAGCCAAGCAGGAACAAAGTCATGCTGCGCCATTTAGGTCCAGTGTCTCTTTTCAGCTAAGTGAGGCATCCAACCTCATGGCCAGGACCTAAAAATGATAACTCTCAAATCACTTATGTTTGCAAAAATCTGACACCAGTGTGTAAAGGACTCTATGATTACTAAGATCCCCTCTTTGGAGTCTCTATATGTCTCCATACCTCAGAAAACTTCTAAACAAAAGCAACAGCTTATGAATATATGTCCATGAAAAACAAAGGGAAAAATGTGACACAAATCTGGAAGATTCTATCAAAGAAATTAATGAATTCCTGAGTTACAGCGAAAGAATCTTAAGAATAGTCACCTACTTAAAACTACAGATACATATGAAAAAAGATTAATTTATTGAGTATTCAGGTAACTTCTGGCAAAAGTCAAGATTTTTACAGGAGAGATATATAACCTCAAGAGTTTTCCTATTTAGTTCTCATTAGTTTCCTCAAACAACAACTTGCTTAGTTTTCCAAAGGGATTAATGGTGTCTCCAAACCATCCCACTGATAATTCTCCAAAAGTACGTACATCAGAAAAAACAGATATTTTCAATAATACATAGTCTTCTCCCAAAATAAGACATCAGAGAATATTTACCCCAGAGTGTAACCTCTGTAATCCTGTTTCCTGAGTCTGCCAGCTGGACTTCCCACGAGGTTCTCTTGTTAAAAGGATGCTTGATTACGCTGGCCAGCAGCTAGTCTTGTGATGAAGCACAAAGAAGCCAGACTCTGCGTGGATCACTCTCAGTCCCCTCAATGGCTCATCCTAAACTATCTAGTTCCTGGCACGTTTCCAAAAGGGGGAAGGGGAAGGGGAAGGGGGGAAGGGGAACATAAAAAGTATTTGTTACATTTAAAAAATGGGGGGAAGGGGAAAGAGCTATGTCTATGTTCACCTCATTCAACTTCCTTGAGTGATGTCACTATGATGTTGCTTAAACAGATAATTCAGGGACATTTGCACACTAAGTCCAAGTTCTATTCATAAAAAGGTCATAGCTAGAAAGACAGATGGGCTCATGTGTGGGTAAGTATTGTCATCAAAGTGATAGATCAAAAATATTAAAAAACTAGAAAAGATCTTCTGAGCAGTCAACTCCAGTGGCAAAAACTGACATGCCAAAGCCCTTAATTTACAACTCTCATTATTCTTACACAGCTGCTAAAAATATTATGCAGATATGTATTTGCATTTGGCTTATCCTTCAAAATCTAAGGATTTGGAAAATAAATATTTTTTTTTAAAAAAAAATCAGACAGGAACTTGATATACTTTTCACTTCACAGAACAGCAGCTTTCAAGGCAAATTTCTTGGTATGAAGCTCCCAAAAGTATCTTCTATTTCTTTGGTCTTCCCTATAAATTGAGAGCAAACTAAAAGTAAAAGAAATGGGAAGGGTAAGGGATAGTCAAGTAGAGAGACAGCTTCAAAGTAAGGCTTTCTTCTCTTCTGCTTTCTGTATTCCACTTAGTTGTGCCCTTCTTGAAGAACAACACGAATTACTGAAGGTGATATGAAGAATCTTCTGCTTCAGTAGAGAAGTCACTTATTTTTTGGATCCATTTCTGTCATTCAATCATTTAAAAGGTCACAGGAATCTATCACTATAAATGAAAAACAAAACACAGTATCATAAGAGGCCAAAATTATAATTGCTAAAATTACACAGAAATGATCAAAGGTCCTAGGAGTCAAAACAAGTTCAATTTAGACATAACATGTCAAACACCTACATTAAGAATTCTAAAAAATTTATAGAAAAGTCACCTGTCCAAAGTTTGCTTTTTATATAACTCATTTTTAATTAGCTAAGGTAATTCAGATATGCAAATTATAAATCAGATTTAGATTTTCATGTATATAATAGCTTGCAATGGGCCACATAATTTGCTGATTACCAGTCAACAACTACCTAATCATTCAGTAATAACCACAGTTAAGTCCTTAAAAACAAGACATCTGTCATAGCACTTCTCATGTATTTACATATTTTCAGATAACTAGGTATCAATTAAGAGAATTAGGCTTTTGTGCTCTGACTTAAGAAATGTAGTTAAGAGATGACACAAATATTTTTTCTGCTAAATTTCCCACGTATTTCCAGAGGCTAGAATGCTTTTTGATTTAAGAGAATGCTTGCATTTGTGGGCAATTCTGGTCTATAGAGTAATTCTAGGTTGGAAGCTATTTCTCCATATAAGGTCAGAAAAATTAACAAAATACTTTTGAAAAAGATTATTGTTAGGCCAGCCCAGGCAGGGCAGGGAAGCCAGAAGGGCTCCCTGACCTTGGCCAACTGATAACATACAGGAGACAGATGTCATGACCACAGGACATCTGCCCCCCCCATCCCATGCCTGTTTATGCAGCTTGAGAATCACCTGGGCCTTGACTTCCTCATCTGTACATTCCACCTTAGCTGTTCTGAGCTACGGCCCTCCCTCCTCCTCCTACTACTCTTGGGTATAAATTCTCTCCCTACACTTGCTTGGCATGGCCCTTCCTCTCTTGGAGTACTGCCCGGCAACTGGCCCGAGTAAACCTCTCCTTTCAAGACTGCTAGTGTGGGCTCCTTTCAGCAACACCTTACAATTATTAAGAGATAAACTCCATTAAAACTGCTTGGGAAAAAAGATACAAATAAAAATAGCATGAAAAAGATAAAAATTTGACCATCTTAAACTAGATACGTTTCTGTGAAATGGCAAAATTGGCACACACATGAGTCAAAACTGCCCACTTCAAAAGTGTCCCAGGTGAAGAAGAGAAGCTAAATTTCTGCCTGTAATTTGCTCAGCAAAGAGGTATCCTACTTAGTGAGCTGGGAAAGGATGGCTGGTACTTTACTTTAGCCCAGGCCTAGAATCCAGGGTCATTCTGCATAAAATAGAGCTTCAAGGATAATCCTTTGCCCTTCTTTGAAACTTACAGCATCTAGCAGGGTGCCTTGCATATATTAAGGAGTCAAAGATTTGAAGAATTAAGTTTTACTAAATAATAAGCAAAGGTACTGAGAAACTGGAATCGCAGGCAATGCTGGTAAAAATATAAAAGTAAAAATGTTGTGGATAGCAGTTTGAGAGATGCTCTAAAAGTTAAACACAGAGTTGCCATATGACCTAACATTTCCACTCCTATCCAAAAGAAGTGTTTTGTCCACACAATAAGTTGTAAATGAACATTCATTCACAGCAGCTTTATCCACAATAGTAAAAAAACAACCCAAATATCCACCAATAAATGAAATAAATTGTGGATCGCCATAGATTATTGTTCAGCTTTACAAAAATGAAGGATTGACTGCCAAAACATGGATGAAACCTGAAAATGTTATGCTAAAGAAAAGAAGTCTGATACACAAGACAATACATATCTTATGAATCTATATGAAATATTCAATCCATCCAGACAGAAAACTGATTAAGAAAAAAAAAAAGATCAGTTGCTACCAGCAGTGGGAAGGTGAGGTGGGAAGTGTGACTATTTAATGCATATGAGGTTTTTATCTGGGACAATGAAAAAATTCTGGAAGGAGACACTGGCGATATAAAATACTACAAGTGCACTTAATGTCAAGGCACATTTTTAAACAATTATAATAGGTAATATTAACTCACAAATTATAGAATCAGTTGAGTCATAGAAAGTCAATATTAAATATAATCAAAGCTTTACTTATACTCTCCATTCAAGTTTTATCCAAGAATCTAGTAAGCATGTGATTCCTGATCCTGAAAACAACAACAACAAAAAATGCTATTTTGTTTGACTCCCTTAGCTATGAGAATACCAGAAGGACCACATATCCACCTCCAGCATTGGGTAAAGAGTTTAAAACATACTACTGAGCCATCAAACTCTGAGGACCTGTTATAAGCACAACTAGCTGAAACAAACAAAAAAGCCAAGAAGCAGTAATAGGTTCTCTCAGCAAGAGGTTAACAGTTTTAAATGACTGGCTAAAAAAGTTAACATGGAAAGTCTAAAAGGAATCAACTTCCCTACTTCCTACTCTCATATGCTTACTTCTCTAAAACTGATCTGCCTAAAAAGGTACCTAAATCAAGGTTATTTTGTCGATTTTCCTTTCACACCTCCCTGGTTCACCAGTGCCCCGTCACCTTCCTATGTTATGATTTTCATTACAGAAAAAAGGACTTAAGTGCTAAGGGTGAAAAGGTCCAACTTACTTCCAAGAGATTATGTCTTTGGGAAAAAAAGGGAACTTTACAATATTTGAATAAAAGGGAATATGCTAATAAAAGGGAACATATTAAAAGTATGTTGGGGATTTTACCTTACATTTTCTTCAAGAGCTAGTCAGGAGTGGGCCCTCCCTGGTGGTGCAATGGGTTAAAGCACAGCACTATGAAGCTAGCAGCAGACACTTCAGCAGAAGTTGGATCCCCATTCAGGGAGCTGACCCACATGGCACAGGAGACCTCTCCTGACCTGCCCGGCTGTTCCCCTTAGCAGTGTATTTCAGTAGGTCTACCTGTTCTGCTCCCCACTCTGTCTCTGGGTGAATCCTCTTACTGCCTCTGCACCTCTGGCTATACCCCAGTTCTGTATGAATAAATAACTCTTTTAAAAATAAATAAATTCCTCAACTGAGCCAGAATGAATGGGTGGGCTGAGCAAAGGAGAAATCTGAAGGTTTGAAAAAAGGGTATGAAAGGAGAACTAGAGAACGAATAAGGAAATACACTGCATAGTTTCCCAGCACAATAAAGTCCCACACTTCTAAGTCATCATGAATTCAAAGTGAGACCAGCCAGTTTAAATTACCCTAGGTCATCATTATGATGCTTCTCTTCTACTCTTCTCTCAATTACCAGTTTATCCATTTTCTCAAACTGCAATCCTAGTAAAACCCAACACTTGCTTATTATTCTGTTAATCACCCTTGAAGCTGATTGCTTAGGTAAACACACAAAGTCATGCTTTTAAACATTTCTGTTCTCTACAACAAAGAACCCTGACCAGTACCATCAGAGATCATTAAATTGTGAATCACCACTCTTGATGGCTTCCGCTGTTCACCTGTTCCTGGGTCAATTTCATCTTAAAATCTCTAATGTTGGTTTCCATTACATCATTTAACCAGCAGTTTTCACATTTGGATTGCATCGAGCTAACAATTTCATAATGTTTTTCAGGGGCTAATATTTTATTTGGATATGCTGAACATTTAAGACAATTTACAATACTACCATTTCATAAAGAGAAGATAATTAAGGCCATAAAAGACAAGCCTCAGCATAAAGGACATTTAAAAATAAATGTTGGTATCCTACATTAAACTTATTTATGAAAGAACTTGTGAAATCTTTGTTAGAGTGTATCAGGTGACAACTACAATGCATTAAGATATCCTGGTCTTCACAATGTGATGACCATTTGAAAGGATAGGCTTATTAGGAAAAGGAGAAAAAAAATAAATAAATAAGAGGCACCTGCCTAGACAAGGTGGGCAGAGCTGCTGCTTCTGCAAGGGGGAAGATCTGTTAAAAAGAATGCCTGTGTACACAGGCAGGCAGTCCTGAGATGAGAGCTGCCTGTTTACTACTTTTGAATTTTTTCTTTTACCTCTTAAGTATAACAGTTACTTAAAATTTTTGATGCAACACGGGTGACTTGGTGATGGGAAACTCGCGGGGATTACAATTGAGATGGAAAAAAAAAAGGTACAAAATGATGTAAAAATAAACTGTTGTAAAAAAAAAATCTTTGATGCAGAATTTTTTTTCTGTTTCTCTGGAATCTCTTCATTCCAAATGAATCACATATCATATTTTAGTCTTCACTTCTCACCTCTTAAGTGGATAACAAATTTCTACTTCAAGGAACACTGTATCCTGCACATAGCTGTATGAAAAATCCATCTTAAAGCATTATATTTAGTTTGCATATTTAATCTGTTCTACAAATGGGGGCAAAGCTGTAAGGATTAACAGCAAATGGAATGATATCTAAGTATAGGGTGCCCAATAACTAATTTAAAACAGATGCCAACAATTTCACCAATTAATAGTTCCTTTACCTTAATATTCTTTTTTTAAAGATTTATTTTTATTTATTTATGCATACCAGAACTGGGATCTAGGCCAGAGGTGCGGGGGTGAGAAGATTCACCAGAGCAGTACAGGCTGATCTACAGAAATACACTGCTGAGGGGAGCAGTGGGCCAGACAGGAGAGGTCTGCACCACCAGGTGATTTAGCACCCTGGCTAGGGGCAGACTTCGTGCTGCACTGGCTACCCATAGCTTGATAGTGCTGAGACTTAATCCCTTGTGCCACCAAGGGAGGCCCATTTTTAAAATATATTTAAAAAGGGCTATTTGTGGAAGTTTTTTACTTTGATTCAGACTACCCTAAATAAGAGGTGGTAAACAAAATCTAGAAGCTCAAATTAACCAATTTTATTCATCAGGAACCTTGGTTAAGAAAATAATTTATCAGGATATTAGCAGTTGACTTGGCAAACACACAGAAATCAAGCATTCAAAACCACCAACCAAGGTTGCACCACAGGAAGAGTGTCCTTAAGAAATTGCCCAGCAAGCAATGGAATGAATTTGAAATTGTCCTTGCTTCTTTGC